TCACCCTCCATAGCTCTCCTGACGGGGAGTCAACGGAAGCTGCACCTTCTCTTTCTGCTGCTTTTATTCGTCTTTCAAAACCTGAGCTCATGAAGGAGTTCCCAGTGCAGCTGCACTTGGAAAGGGTGACTACCTTATATATTTTTTTGGAACTTTAGTAGCTAAGTTTTCTTAGGGAAGTATGAGATCCCAGTAGGTCATATTATAATGTACAAAGGTATATTATGGGAGCACAGAGTATTCAGTACTTTTATTTTGTTGTTTTTTTAAAGAGAGAAGAAAAAAGCAATATATTTGTCTTACCTCATCAAGATCTTTGGTCTCTCTGCCCAATTCATCATCATCTTCATCAGAATCTAGCTCTGGTCCAATATAATTCCCAAACTCGTCATACAAGTCAGTATCCATGATGCTGCAATTAAAGAAGAGAAGTTAGTTAGATTCAGACAAGGTAATCAGGCCTCCACCACATGGTCCCACATGAAATTTATAAACTTTATACATCTAGGCTTATAGTTGACCATATCCCTTCACTCATTTCCTTTCCAATTACACTAACTCATAGTCTCTGTTTACATACTCTTCTTCTTTTAATACTAAATAAAAAATATATAACTTAATACTAGAAGGCTTCAAAGCTAGTATAAATAACTTTCTTTTTCCTGAATTATTTGAGAACCAGAGGCCAGGTGCATGGGATGACCTGCGGGGACCAGCCTGTTGTGGGAGTGCCGCTCATCCCAGTCAGCCCAGCAGTGCTTCCCCTGTGGGAGCGCACTGACTACCAGGGAGGTAGCTCCTGTGTTGAGTGTTTGCTCCCCTGGTGGTCAGTATGCATCATAGCAACTGGCCGACCGGTCATTCTGGTCGTACCGCCATTAGGTTGCCGGGCTATTATTATATAGGATCGGATAGGATAGGATAGGATAAGTTGCTGACACAATGCCTCATCACCACTTAAAAGTTTACTGTAGGAGTTGGCACATTATGGTCTGTGGCCAAATCAGGCCTGTTGCTTGATTTTATAAAGCCTCAAGCTAAGAATTTTACATTTTTAAATAGCTGAAAAATCAAAAGAATAATATTTCATGATATGTGAAAATTAATGAAATTCAAATTTCAATGTCTATAAAAACAGCTTTATTGGAACACAGCCACGCACAATCATTCATATAGTCTATGGCCACTTTCACACTGAAAGAGCAGAGCTGAGTAGCTGCAACTGAGCCCATATGCCCAGGAAGCTTAAAATATTTACTATAGAAAAGGCGTGCCAACTACTGCTTTCGTGTGTGTGATTCCTTCGAACAAGAACATTCCCCTACATAATCATAATGCAACTATCAAACCCTGGCCGGTGTTGCTCAGCAGTTGGAGTGTCGGCCCTTGCACCGAAGGGTCTCGATTCCAGGTCAAGAGCATGCACCTGGGTTGCAGGTTCAATTCCCATGCGGGAAGCAACCAATCAAGTATCTCTCTTACATCAATGTTTCTCTTTTCCCCATTCCCACTTTTACTTCCATTGCTCTAAAGATCAATGGAAAAAATATCCCCAAGTGAGAATTAACAAAAACAAAGCAAAAAAAATACAACCATCAAAAATCAGAAAATCAGACACATTCTTATCACCTAATTCACAGACACCCCCTCCCCCCCAACTTTCACAAACTGTTTTAACAACATCCTGCACAGCAAAGGATCCAACCCAGAACTGCATGTTTGCCTTTAGCAGTCATGTCTTTAGTCTCACTCTGGAACAGTTCCTGTCTTTCTTTTGACTTTTATGACTTAACACTTTTGAAGATTATAGGCTAGTAAGTTTGTAGAATGTCCTTTAACTTGAGTTTGCCTGATGTTTCCTAACGATTAGATTAAGGTTATGCATTTCTAGCAGGAACATCACAGATGTAATGCTGTGTTTTTGTTTTAAAATATATTTTAATTGATTTCAGAGAGGAAGGGAGAGGGAGAGAGCTAGAAACATTAATGATGAGAGAGAATTATTGATTGGCTGCTTCCTGCACACCACCTACTGGGGATCGAGCCTGAAACCCAGGCATGTGCCCTTGACAGGAATCGAACCCTTCAGTCCGCAGGCCGATGCTCTATCCACTCTGCAAATCCGGCTAGGGCAGTGGTCGGCAAACTCATTGGTCAACAGAGCCAAATATCAACAGTACTCAATTGAAATTTCTTTTGAGAGCCAAATTTTTTAAACTTAAACTTCTTCTAATGCCACTTCTTCAAAATAGACTCGCCCAGGCCATGGTATTTTGTGGAAGAGCCACACTCAAGAGGCCAAAGAGCTGCACGTGGCTCGAGAGCTGCAGTTTGCCGACCATGGGGCTAGAGTGATGCTGTGTGTTTTTTCAGTGCATCCCCTATCAGGTGATATCTGATTTTAATTAGTTGTGATGTTACCTTAATCACTTGAGTACAGTGGTCTCTGCCAGGCTTTTCTATTGTAAAGTTACTTGTTTTCTCTTTGTAATTAATAAGTATTTTGTGGTTTTCTCTACTTCAATTACTGAAATTCTATTCAAAGCACAGTTCAAATGCCACCCTTTTCAAGCTTTTTTGGAACCTCAATATCTCACTCCCCTATGCTGCTATTGTCTTCTGCGGCTTTACCAGCATTTACTTGTTTTGAATGGCAGTTAACAGTACTGATTACCCTCACCAACAACTCTGCAGCTTACAAGTAATAAACAACAGATTAGAGCATGGGTTAAGGGTTTGGGCTCTGGAATTGGAAGATTTGGATGTGAGTCCTAACTTTTGTCACTTAATAACTATGTATTCCCGAAACCGGTTTGGCTCAGTGGATAGAGCATCAGCCTGCGGACTGAAAGGTCCCAGGTTCGATTCCGGTCAAGGGCATGTACCTTGGTTGCGGGCACATACCCAGTAGGGGGTGTGCAAGAGGCAGCTGATCAATGTTTCTCTCGCATCGATGTTTCTAACTCTATTTTTCTCCCTTCCTCTCTGTATAAAATCAATAAAATATATATATTTTAAAATAACTATGTAACTTCAGGTAAGCCACTTCTACTCTAAACCTGTTTCCTTAACTGGAAAATGGAGTGCACAATTTCCATTGCATAAAAGGTTAAGAGAATTAAACGAAATAGTGTATGTAAAGAATTTGTCAGAGTCCCAGACTCAATAAATGGTAGCCAGCATTATTTTTTTATCTATTTAAAAATATATTTTTATTGATTTCAGAGAGGAAGAGAGATAGAAACATCAATGATGTGAGAGAATTGATCAGCTGTCTCCTGTACACCCCCTACTGGAGATCGAGACCACAACCCGGGCCTGTGCCCTGATTAGGAAGTGAACCATGACCTCCTGGTTCAAAGGTTGACACTAAACCACTGAGCCATGCCAATCAGGCATTTTTGGCTATTCTTAAGTTCAGGAATCCTGTGTTCTTTGTGCCTACCTGACAATGTATAAGTAGGCACTGTTATATATTAAATAAATGGAATGTTTAATTTTGAGATACTGTTATTTCTTGCAATAGGTTAATCCTTTACCTCCCTCAATGCAACCTGTTGAGTGCTGATTGTAGGCAAAATAGAGAAGAGCCCCCAAAACTAGTAGCTAACATAAACTATTATAATTTTAAATATGCACAGGGATTCGTTACACTTCCAAAGAGCTATCACATCTGTGCTCATTTCATTCTCCCAAATCCATGAAGTGACAGCAGAAATTTTTACATACGGATATTCATGGGACACACCAAGCTAATTTCTACTTCGGGGCCACTGTACTTGCTATTCTCCTCTGAAATGCTCTTCCTTTGGGTATTTATATCTTGTTCCTTCATTTCACTCGGTCTCTATGAAAATGTCACGTTTTCTGCGAAACCTTCAATTGTCACTCTATAAAAGTCCTCCATACACACTCTCTGTTTTATTATTATTAACATTTACCACCAACTGAAACCTATCTATCTATATATGTGTTTACTGTCATCCCTCCAACTACAATTTAAGCAAGGACTCCATTTCACTTAGTGCCTGGAACAATACAGGGCCTCAATAAGTATTTGCTGAATGAATGAACGATTCCAACAAGGCACAGAGAAGAGAGCTGACTTGCTTCCAGTGGCACAAAGCCAGTAACTTTGGGCATCAAACCTCACTGCAACTTCCCGCTATAACGCAGGCTCTCAAAGGAACACAGAGTAAGCACGGAGAGAGTCTGGCACAGGAGTGAAGATGGCACAGGTGGAACCGGAGAGAGGGGACTGAACAGTGAGAGAATGACTCCTGCCTAGGGAAGGGTTTAACGGGTAGACATTGAGGGAATCCTGGAATCTGGGACTGCGTGTTGGAAGTCGCGGGAAGGCGGGTGGGGGTTGGGGGGGGCTTTCATTTCTTTCCCGTTCCACACTCCAATTTACCCGTTTGTAAAGTAAAAGAGGCAGATAGCATATATAGTCTCTTCCAGATCTGACATTTGTTCCCCTTCCCACCCGGAGCAACTTTCCCATCCCGTAGCGCGTCAACTCACCTCCCTCCCGCTCAGCCAAAACCTCCGAGCAGCCTACGGAGCCCGCGCTTCCGGCCCACGCTGCGGCGCAGCCTGCGCCGGCCGTCCCGAAGGACCCCGCCGACGCCGCGGCCGCGTTTCTGCCGCGGACAGCCCTCTGCCTGAGGACTAGCTCGGAGGAATGGTGTCCGCGGACACAGGAACGGGAGAGGTGGAGTTGTAAAGACTGAATGAAACTGAGGCGTGGGCTACTCCAAACAGAGTGAGGCCTGAAGGGGCCTGAATCTGATCAGGCGCCTCGGGACCACACTGAAAGGGGAGGGCCTTCGAGCCGATCACGTGGGCAGGCTGTGACAGCAGTTGCTAGGCAACCACTGCGGCTGCGTCTGGTCTACACGGAGCTGTTCTGTTCCGGAGTATCTGAGTGTCCCCAGAGAAAGCAAGGGAACCGAGGCCAGGGCTGCTGGGGTGACAGGAGGGCAGGAGGGTTAGTTCTGTTTATTCAATTACCGGGTAGGGTTCAGAACTGGACAGGAGCCAGGACATCTGAGTTCAATTCCTGGTCAGCCCAGCCGCCTTCTTGGTTGGGGTAGAGAGGGTGGGCGAAGGGCTTGTTTGCAGACATCCCACTACCCTGCCCTAGGGCTGTTGATGATGCTTCAACCATAACATCTTGCTCAGTGCACCAGGAATCTGAGGCTCAAAGAGGTCTCACCACAAGAAAAAAGCAAGAGCCAAAACTAGAACCCATTTAGGTGATCTCGCGGTAGAACAGGCCAATCAGCCTCATACGCGGAGGCTACAGAAGTACAGGGGCAGAACTAAACAGGGCTCCCAAGTACCTAGTCCTCCAGCCCTGGGCTGGTCAGAGGAATTTGGGACAGGAATCATTAAGCCCCTTCCTCTACCACTTCTACTTGGTTTCCTGCTCAGTCATTGCATTTGGTTTGGGTGAAAAGGTATTCTTTCTCATTAAAGACATTTAATGATGGATGAAATTTTATCCCTGGGCTCCAGAGCAGCTAACAATAGTTCTGCTTTTGTGTGAGGTTCTCCTCAATCACCACAACTTGCTATGTGGAAGAGTGAAGGGACTGAATTCTGAGATCCATATGCTTCCTCAAAGAAAGCACCAATTCTTAGAGGCAGAAAACGAAATTAAGCTATGGCTCCAAACTGAAAGTCATTCCGTTTTCAGTGACAACAAATCTTAAGCACGTCCTCACTGTGTAACTCTATAAAGTAGAGAACTAGGTTCTTGTAAACCCCCCAAATATAACTGACAAGATGTCCGGGAGTGCTTTTGGGTCATTTTGTGGGCTAGCAAAGAATCCACTTTCCTTCCCCTGTTATGGACCTTCCAATGATGTCCATCCTCTTTTCCTCCCCAGGCACAAGCCATGGAGAGGAATGACATCATTGACTTCAAGGCTCTGGAGAAAGAGTTGCAGGCTGCAGTTACCGCCGATGAGAAGTACCGGAGAGAGAATGCTGCCAAGTTTCGGGCAGTGGAACAGCGGGTGGCTTCCTATGAGGAGTTCAGGTTGGCTTAATGTCTTTTTTCTCAGGTCCCCCTGTTATGGGGTCTGTAGTGGGTAAGAGCACGTGCTCTGGAGTCAGACAGTTCTGGGCTTAGTCCTGGTCCCGTCCTCTGCTACCTGTGTCATCTTGTGCGAGTCATTTAACCTCTGTGAGCCTCTATTCCTCATCTGTAAGAGAGAATAACCATGACTATGATCAAATGAGTTATTACATGTTAAGATTTTTGAGCAAGAATGTCTGGGACATGGGAAGTACCTAAAAGCTGTCAGCTGCTGTTGTCGCTGTTGTTATTGTTGTTGCTGTCATATTGACCTGTCAACAGGTTCAACCTATGTCATGCACAGTCCAGCCACCTCACGCCCACAGACGTCGTTAGGTCTGTCCCTGGATCTCTGTCCTTTGTCTGCAGGGGTATTGTCCTTGCATCACACCTCAAGCCCCTGGAGCGGAAAGACAAGGCAGGAGGAAAGAGGACTGTGCCCTGGAACTGTCACACTACTCCAAGAGAGACCACTCTGGACGAGACAACTGAAATCTCCCAGGTAGGCGGGGCCCAGCAGGATTCCCTGCCGTAAAGCTCCAGTCCCGTCTTCTTACAACACCTACCTTTTCCTTATTTCTCATGTTAAGGCAATGGAGGCAGGTTTCTTCCTCTGATCCCAGAAAGAGAGAGTGAGGGGAGTTAAATTGGGCAGGACAAATCGGAAAGTTGAGCGAGGCAGGTCCCTCTCAGCCAGTCCTTTAACTTGCATTCGCAGCTCAGGCAGGGGTTGCTCTGGGTTATAGGGTGTAGAGTATAATGACCCTATGACGGTGTTGGCAGGGAGACCTCGCCTGGCAGGTCCTTAACACTCCCCTGGAGTTCTTTCTCTCTTCCTGAGGTTTCCAGTCGTCCCCTCTGCTCTGCTCAGAGTGAAAACCCTTCCTCTCACGTTCATCAGTAGGACTACCCTGGGACAACAGAGAATCCCAAACCGGGCCTGTGTTCTGAGAGACCCTCTCTCATCCGAAAAGGCGGCCGCCATGGACCACAGCCTTCCCAGGGCTCAGAGAGCAGCAGCAGAGTTCGGCTGAGAACCCATAGGCCTCCCTCCCTCGCACTGCCACAGAACAGCTGCAAACGCTCAGGGTTCTCCTTTCTTTTTTTTCTTAAAAAAAAAAAAAATATTTTATTGATATTTCACAGAGAGGAAGGGAGAGAGATAGAGAGCTAGAAACGTTGATGAGAAACATGGACCAGCTGCCTCCTGCACATGGGGGATGTGCCCGCAACCAATGTACATGCCCTTGACCGGAATCGAACCTGGGACCCTTCAGTCCACAGACGCGACGCTCCACCACTGAGCCAAAAGGGTTTCGGCTGGGTTCTCCTTTCTTTTTCCCTCCAGGAGAAAACACCCCTGCAGCCTGAGACCTCAGCGGAGTTCTACCGTGACTGGCGGCGATACTTGCGGAGTGGGCCAGAGCGCTACCAGGCCCTCTTGCAGCTCGGAGGTCCCAAGCTGGGCCACCTCTTCCAGACAGACGTGGGGTTTGGACTTCTAGGGGAGCTGCTGACAGCACTGGCTGATCACGTGAGGCCGGCTGACCGGCTGGCGGTGCTGGGGATCTTGCGCAGCCTGGCCGGTACCGGGCGCTTTGCCTTGAACCTCAGCCTGATGAGCTGCGCAGAGAGAGCGAGCTGCAGAAGCTTGTTCCAGAAGCTGCAGGCCATGGACACCCCTCCACCCATGAAGGGGGGGCTCAGCCAGGAGGAGCAGGGTCTGGAGGAGCAGCCTGGGGGGCTCCCGGAGGAGGAAAGTCTCCTACAAGAACTGCTAGGGTTGTACCAAGTGGATTGATGGGGCCAGTGACCTTCAAAGGCCCCCAGGGATCACGGGCAGCAGGTTTTGGTTCTCTTGGGGCCTCTGCAGAACTGTGGTAAAAATCCCACACCGGCCGAAACCAGTTTGGCTCAGTGGATAGAGCATCAGCTCGGTCAAGGGCATGTATGCTGTTTACAGGCACATCCCCAGTAGGGGGTGTGCAAGAGGCAGCTGATCGATGTTTCTAACTCTCTATCCCTCTCTCTTCCTCTTGGTAAAAAATCAATAAAATATATTTCAAAAAAAGAAAGAAAGAAAAGAATCCCACATCAAATTCCCTTCTCAACTTGAAATCTTCAGAGCGAAAGCTAGAATCTAATCTTCCCCTCTTCTCCAGCCCCTCTGTGGCCTCATAGTCTGAACTGTGTAGATCCGCAGGATGGACAAGGGCCCAGAAAGTTAAAAGAGCTTTGCTTCCCACACTCAGAGTCTCTCACGGCTGTGGCCCACAACCCCGAAAGATGGCGTGTGCCCCACCAAACGCTGGCTACACCAGTAAGGCTTCCACCCTAAAGGGGAAAAGGGAAAATCACCAATCTTCCATAATAAACCCATACTGATCTCCATAGCTTTTAACAAGAATATTTGTAACATAAACCCAATGAATGGACATTTAATCAGCAAATGGTCAAATGCTGCCTCATTTGAGATGTATTTTTCCCCAGGGGCTGAAATCCCTGCAGGTTGAGTCTGGGAAGGCCCCAAGCCATCACGTTAGGTCTGGCCAACCTCCCAGGCTTCTTCCGGGGGCCAGATGGGAAGGCGGCGGGTTCCTCCAACTCCTGGGTTAACCAAAGGGAAGACCTTTCCTCCAGGCATCGGGGCAAGCCTGGGGCAGGGAGGAGAGGTTTCCCTGACCAGCTCCTCGCCTTGCTTCTCGTTCCAGGTTCTCCTGGCCCATTCTTGGGCGGGTGCCAGTGTTCTAGAAAGGGGAGAGAGGGCCGGGTTCTAGAATGGCTTTTCCTGGAGATCACATTGGGAGGGCATCTTGTCACGAGAGAGGGGCCTCCTGGGCACCGGCTGGGAATAAATTGCCTTGCCCGTGGCCGCTTCCCCTGCAGACTACTGCTGCTTTTCCTGGCTGCCCCCTCCTTCCCTGCAGTAGTGAATTCTGGCAGCCTCAGAGGCCTTTGGTGCCTTGGTTTCCCCCCTCTGACTACCCATCCTCCCCACCCCCCGTTCAGGCATGAACCTGTCCCACATCATTGTGCTCCTGTGGGCCTGGGGGAGGCTCTGGGCCTTTGAAATCGTGGAGAAGGAGAACATCTTTCAGAGGACCCCCTGCCCTGCCTTCCTGATGTTCGATAACGCGGCCTACCTGGCCGACATGAGCTTCGAGCTGCCCTGCCACTGCAAGCCCGAGGAGGTGCCCGCCGTGGTCTGGTACTACCAGGAGCGCCTGGGCGGCGGCCGCACCAGGGTGCTGACGGACTTTGACGGGCAGGTGCTGACGGCCGCGTCCCACGTGCGGGTGGGCAGCGACCTGCTGGTGCGCTTCAGCATCCGCATGTTCAGCCTGCTGGTGTTCCGGGCCCAGCCCGAGGACTCGGGCCTGTACTTCTGCGGCAGCCGCAGCGGGGACTACTTCTACGCCTACGACGTGGACATCCAGAGCAGCGAGGGCATGGTGGCCACCTTCAGGGACCTGGGCCAGGAGCCCTTCGCGGACGAGTACCGGGGGAGCCTGCACGTCTTCACCACCTTCTGGGAGTGGACCCCCTGTGACCGCTGCGGGGTCCGCGGGGAGCAGTGGCGCATTGGCCTGTGCTACCTGCAGAGCCCGGACCTCTCCCCACGCTACCGCAAGACGATGCCGGACGTGGTGTCCTGTGGCTCCCGGGCCGTGCCACGGAAGCTCCAGGCCCAGGCCAGGGACCACGCCCCCGAGCTGCTGGTGCGGAGCTGCAGGGTGCCCTGCAGGAACACCACGAAGATCCGGGGGAAGCTGATGGCCATTCTGAACTACGTGTCCAAGGTGGGCAAACGGCCCTGGCTGCCCGAGGTGCCCATCCAGTACCACCAGCAGAGGCTGAGTCATGGACTCATCATCTCCTGCCCTGGGGCCCGGCCGGAGCAGGCGGTGGCCTGGGACAAGGACCGCCAGCACCTGTACCGCACGCAGTACCTGAAGGGCACCAACCGGTCCATGAGGGTGTTCATCGACCACGGCAACCATCTCCACATCCGCTTCACCCAGCTGGACGACAGGGGCATCTACTACTGCTGGCGGCAGGGCGAGCGGGTGGCCGGCTTCCGGCTGGGCGTGGCCCCCTGGGGGCGCTACAAGGTCTCGTTCTCCGACCCCGAGGTCCGCTCGGCCCTGGAGCTCACCCTGGTCGGGTTCCTGCTCCTCACTGCGGTCTTCGTCGCCGTCCACCTCTGGCGCGGCTGCTGTTACGTGTTCCGCTGTTGTCCCAGCTTCTCCCGCTAGGTTCTCCCTCCGCCCTCTCTGAAGACCCGTGGGGCTCCCATGTGTTTGTTAAATGATTCCAGGTGCTTCTGGGATGTGGGCCAGGGAGGGCGAACAAGTGTGTTAGTCACATCCTGCTCCCCGTTTTCGTGGGCGCTTCTGGGACCTGACCTGGGGCGGGGAGACGCCTGGGGCGGGTGGGACATGGGGACGGAGGCTCTGATGGAAGTGGCCGAGGTGCACGTGTCTTCTCACTCCATCAGGTCAGAGGAGGAGGGAGGGAACCTCGTAGTTATTAAATGGCCTATTCAGTATTGAACGGTGTTGGAGGTGCTTTCTTTTCTTGCCTTTGAGGACTTGCCAAGTGGGTGCTGGTTAAATCGGGGGTGTCACGGAGAAGAAGGAAGAAAAGAGTGGGGAAACCACGTATAGGTCCTCTCTGCCTTCCTCCCAGCCTCGTCCTGGGACCGGCTGGTAGGGAGGTAAAGACCAGGACAGGGGAAATGGGTGAGGAAAATGGAGGACTCTCCTGAGAGATTGCACCCACGCTGGAGACTGGGGGTGAGAAGAGGGGCTGGGAGCACAGGCAGGGGGAGGAGGAGGGAGTGGGGGGAGACGCTGCTAAGGCAGAGCAGGGTTGGAGGAGGGATTTGTCATGTGGTGGCTGCCATGGGGGGATGTTGAGCTCTGGAGATTGAGCTTTTTGTTGAGTTCACAAGGAGCAAGTTGGGTCTTGTGCAAGGTTCCTTGCTGCTCCCTTCCCCGGCCCCAGCTTCTGAACAGATCAGAGTCCACTCAGAGGGAGGCCACAGCAGTTGGCTTTATTTAGCTCAGTAGCTAAAGGCATGCGTGGGTGGCAGGAGGGAGTCAGAGAAAGGGCACCGAGCCTTGGAAAGAGAGTCCCATCTCTCCCGCCCATTAGCCTTAGAGGAAGAGGGGGACCCTGGAGTGGGTCCTCTCAGCCCCATTTCTGGGCGCACACAATCCCATGCTCCCCAGTCCTCCCGTGGAAAGCAGAGCAGACGCTCTGGGTGGAAGTGTGTGTCCCCTCTCCAGGCTGTAGCAACCCAAACCAGGGTCTTCACTCTGCTCGTGCCTCCGTTTCCTGAATTACAAAATACAGTGCTGCCTAGAATACTGGGTACATTTTGCATTTGAGTCAGAGGGGACCGTAGGGCCCTTAGTTGAGGGAAAAGCATCAGGTCACTGAGGCGCAGACAGGCAGGCGGAGTGCGTTGGCCTCACCCAGCTGTGTTTGCTGGGTTGGGAGGCAGCGGCAGGGGCCCAGAGGCTTCGGGTGGACGGGGATTATGCAGCAAGAAAGGACCCGGACAAAGTGTGCCCCGCCCTGTGGACCACAGCCCCCTTTTCTCTTATTTCAGCATCTTCCAGAGGATGCATTACTTCCTTAATCCCCACCACCCAGAGGCCAAGTTAGCTGGTCATCCACAACCCCAACTCTGGTGTCCAGCATCCTCCTCCCACCTCCTCCATCTCTACCGGCCTCCCTCCCCCGGATTATATGGGGGAAGTCCTCCCGGGCTTGACCTCTATGAACTGACACCCAGGGGCCAAGCAGCCCCCTCGACTCCTTCCCGGCACCACTGCCCTCTCTACGTAACCTAAGACCCCCTCGTGCTGAGAATCAGGCTCCCACCTGCCCACACGGCAGCTCAGTGAGGCTGAGACACTAGAATCAACACTGAGTCCTCCTTCTCTCTGGAACCCGGGCAGGCCAGGCCTCCTGTCTGCTGAGGACGCCAGGTGGCAGGATACCCCGCCTGCTATCCGGCTGGCCAGGGTCAGTCTAGATTAAGAATGAGCTGCTGGCCAGGGCTGCCTTGCCTGGGAGGACTTCCCCTTCCTGTCTCAGAGTCTCCATCTTCCTCCGGCAGCCCCGGGGAAACTCCAAGGCCCACTTCCCAGATGGCCCGGAGACTTCCAGCGCTGACAACGGTTGCCATGACAACAGGGATTGGGCTCCCGAGAGTGATTTATTGGGTCTCGAGGCCCTCCCCAACCTCCCTCGTCCCTTCCAATTCTAACCCGAGCTTCTGGCCATGCCCCTCCAGGCTGCCCCTTTGGGGTGAGTGCCCTTTTAGACGGAGATGCTGGGAGTGGGGTGGGTGCTGTCTGGCGGGCCTACTGCTGATGGAGCCTAGAGCAAAAGCCGGCAGAGAGACGTAGTGGGGGGGTGGGAGCCCAGGTCTGGGGAAATCAGCTGTCAGAGGAGGGGCAGCTATCCTGTTTACTGCTGCAGCCCCCTCCCGATGTGGGACAGGGGCCTCCAGAAGGTTCCCGCCTCACATCACGTCCTTGTGCTCCTGCTTGGACTCCTTAATGACCTGCAAGGGACAGAGAAGGGGCACAGGGCCACCGTTAGGCGCTCACACAGACCTGGGCCCACCCCCGCCAGGCCATGTGACCTTGGGCTGGTCCCCAGACTCCCTGGGTCTTTCCTTCCTAGGGTAGGAGCCGGAACTCCCTCAGCAGCAGGCAGAGGGTGAGGTCACCCCTGAACATCATTTAGCGCCATGCCGCCAGGCACCCGGTGAGCTGATGGTGTGAAATTAACTAGTGCTGCTGCTGGCGTGCCGGGGAATGCCAAATCCCCCTTTCCCATTCCTGTGCAAGGTTCCTTTAACTGAGCTGGAAATGGAAAGTTGGCGGTGAAAACGGCTAACTTCTTTAATTTCCTTTCTCTCCGCCCCAGGCCTGGCGCTGGGGCACCTGAGTTAGGGTGAGGACGGGAGAAAGCCCAAGTCAGGACCCATCCAGTGGTCTAGGCGCCCGGGCTCCCCTTAGAGCGGCCAGCGGAGGGGGCGGGGAGTTTAACGACATCCAGGTTCCTTTCCCTCTTCCAGAGCCTCCCTGAAGAGCCCGTGTGGGTTATCGAGAACCTTCTGTGTTCTCGTTCGGCTTCATCCTAGAGCCTGGCCTCAGGAATCCCTGGGGCAGCCAGAGCAGAGGGGCCAGAATCTCAGGGCTGCTGTCCTCACCTCTCCATCCCGCATCTCCACCGTCTTCACCACGATGTTCCTCTTGAGATGGCCCTCGGACACGGACTTGGTGTCCAGGCTGGTTTCTGTGGTGTGAGGAGAGGAGGCCTGTGGGCGCTAGCCATCCTCTGCCACCCCGGCTCCCTGCCACAGCCAGAGCACGAGGGCGGGCCCAGGCTCTTCCAAAGGGGCTGGCGACCCCCAAGTGCCCTCTGTGCCGGACGAGTCCTGGCTACTCTGCCCGCTGCCCTGCTGGCTCTCCTGGCCTGGCTGCGTTCCAGTCCCTCTGTAGGCCGTTGCCCGGGACCTGGCTCTCTGACCACCCAGCACTGTGTCGAGGAAGGAGCACGTGGGCTTTGAAATCAGGCAGGCCAGAGCCCGAGGCCCAGCTCAGCCACACGGCTGTGGGCAAGTTACTTCACCTCTCCCAGCCCCCGTTTCCTGACCTGTAAAATAGGGGCATGGTGCCTGCTTCTCTAGGTGGGAGCGAGAAGTCGATTCGCTGAAACAACGAATGTTAAGTGATTGGCTCAGTACATGGGGTCCCTTTTCCCCTTTCCTACTTCTCTCTGCCTCTTCTAGGGGCCCTAATGGCCCTTTACTGTCTGGGACTCAGCAGTATCACCTCTAGGTGGTCCCTCCTGACACCCCCCCCCCCCCCCCCCCGTTAACTTTTCTGATGCTGAACCAAGTCCTGGGACACACATATCTACTTCCTAAATGTCTGGCCCGGAAGAAGACTCCTTTCCCCCTGCCCCCCACCCCCACCCCCGTAGCTGAGAATCACGAGGCCCACATACAAGTAAGAAGTGACTGAGCTTTTCCCCTCAGAGAGAAACATGGAACACTGATACTTAAAATTAAGAGCAGGGGATGCGAAACTTCATTCACTACAAGGGCAGCGGTCCAGGGGGAAATAATCCTCTTGGGCTGAATCAGCGCTGAGCTGAGCCTCGGAGCCTCGGGGACAGACAGTCAAGCAGAGAGCTTGCCCCTGGGCGCAGAGAGGCCCGAGGGGCCCTCTCCGATGGGTAAGGAGGGAGGCAGGGGCTGGCCTGTGCTCAGAGGCCCCAGAGCAGCTCGTCTGAGCACCTGAGGACACATCGCCCCGAACACCAGCCGGGCTGCCGGCGTAACCTCCATTTGCCCTGTGCCGGGCTGAGCCGGGCACTGAGGCTGCTGGGCAGATGGGGAACCCGGGAGGAGGGAGCCCAAGAGGACGGCGAGCATGAGCTTGGGGGGCTCCCTTTCTGCCACGCGGAGGAAAGCGCCGTGTCTGAGAGGCAGGAGCTAACCGAGAGCCGGCGGGGCCCCGTCTACAGGCGGGGGAGCCTGGATTGGGATAACTTGTACTGTGAGGCTTTTGAGGTGTCTTGTGACCGTGTGACCTTCCCCTCCTCTGGTGCCTTTGCCCCCTGCAGTGACAGGCAGTTGGGAGAACAAAAACATGAAACGCTCAGGTGGGCAGAGGATCTGCAAGGGTGGAGGGGTCTGCAGACAGGACAGAGGTCGAGACCCTCACCCAATTCTGTAGGAAGCGGGGTGCAGGGGTGAAAGCGGGGCCCAGGGCAGAGCAGGACGGGAGTGGCTGCAAGCCCCGCCCGAAACGCCCTGGGCTGGTGTGTTCTGGTCCACGGTGAATCACGAAAGCCCTCAAGGGTCCCCCCCCCCCCCCTTTACCCAGGTTCTCAGCCCCAGGCCCCTCTACTGACCTCGGATCTGCAGGTTGGAGAAGGTCTGCACCGGGATGGTGATGCTGAAAGACAGCGGAGGGAGCACAGTGACCGGGCCGTCCCAGGCCAGGCCCCGCCTCAGGCTTAGGACAGCCTCAGGGAGCGCCTTTCCCAATTTCCCTCAGCGGCCAGCGCGCCCCGGAGCTCCCATAGTCTGCCAGGGGCGTGGGTGTGATCTGTGCACATCTCCATCCCATGGAGGATGCGGACGTGGAGGATGGCAGAGGGGAGGGCAAAGGCAGTTCTGAGGAGGCACAAAAGACAGGTCAGGGGAGCTGAAACCGGTTTGGCTCTGTGGATAGTGTCGGCCTGCGGACTGAAGGGTCCCGGGTTTGATCCCGGTCAGGGGCATGCGCCTTGGTATGTGCCTTGGTTGCGGGCATGTCCCCAGCGGGGGGTGTGCAGGAGGCAGCTGATTGATGTTTCTCTCTCATCGATGTTCTAGCTTTCTATCCCTCTCTCTTCCTCTCTGTAAAAACTCAATAAAATATATTAGGGGGAAAAAAAGGCCAGAGGAAAAGAAGTCCAATTATTGTTGGGGGAGCGGGCGGGTGAGCCTTTTAGTTCAGTCCTTGCCCTGGGACCTAATCATCACCGGTTGAATTGAACCCATTCACTCACTCACTCACTCATCAAACTTTTACTGAATGCCTCCTGTGTGTCATGGGTGCCCCTCTCGGGGCCCTGGCGGAGGAGGGGGCTGGCAGCCTCACCGATTCTCCTCGCCCTCCAGCAGCTTCCTGTAGGTGGCGATCTCCATGTCCAGGGCCAGCTTGATGTTGAGCAGATCCTGGTACTCCTGCAGGTGGCGGGCCATCTCGTCCTTGAGGCTCTGCCCCTCCTCCTCCAGCCGGGCCAGGGCCTCCTGGTAACTCGCCACCTCCCGCGCCTGCCGCTCCTCCTGCTCCCGCATCTGCCGCTCCAGGGACTGGTTCTGGGGGGTGGAAGCCGGCCGGTCCCTCGAGGCACTGAGGCACCGGCTCGTCCTCGGATGGGACCAACTGGGGAGGCATTGGAGGCCCCCTTCCCGCCTTCACTTTGGCCCCGCTCCCAGTCCCTGTCCCACCCTTGGTCCCTCTCCTCCAGCATCCCTGGGGCTGGCACCGTCCCCTCCTCCCGTTCGCTCGCCAGCCCCAGTCGCTGCCCCCGTCCACCGGCCCCCGGCTCTGCTCGCTCACCGTGCCCCGCAGGGACTCCAGGTCGCAGGTCAGAGCCTGCAGCTGGTGCCGGTAGTCGTTGGCCTCCTGCTTGGCCCGGCGGAGCAGCTCGGCGTTGCGGGCAGCGGCGTCTGTCAGGTCCGCAAACTAGACGGGGAAGAGGGCCTTATGCAGCCGCCTGTGGGGAGCTGTGTGGGCCTGAGGGAAGGCAGAGGTCTCTGGGAAATCGGGGAGGTGGGCAGGACCCCAGGGTTGTGGTGCAGGTCACTCCAAGACACCGGGTGGGATTATTCCCCAGAGACTGTGAATCTTGGGTAGCAGATACAGAAGCCACTGCTGCGTCCTCAGCACCCAGCACTATGCCGGGTCAGGGAATGAACGAATGGATGGACAGAGTTGTCACAGAACCCAGAATCTCCTGCACTGGCACCTCCATCTATGGGCCTAAACCCTGTTTCCCCCACCTGGACAGTCCTGGGTTCTAATAGCCCGCCCGCCCCCCGCTGGCAGCGAAGTCCTCAGGGCTCCACCAGGCCGCAGTCTGCTCAGAACCATTGTTGGCTTCTGCCACTCACTCTCCTCAGCTCGGGTGTCCTGGGCCAGCACCTCCGGCCCCACCTCTCTGTGCCTTTCTGCCTCCAGCCTCCGCACATGCTCTGTCCTGCACTCGGAACACCCCTCCCCTCTTCTCTTCATGGCCTGCCCGCCCGTCCTGCTTAGGCCAGTTGCCCTCCTTCTATGACACCCTCCCTGGTCCCCGCCTTGTATGTGGACGCTGCCCTGCAGTGTTGTCGATGGACACCTTACTTGGGTGCCCATCCCATCTTCCTGGTCAGGATGTCTCTGCAGCCTGGGCAGTGCCTGGCGTGCAGCACATGCTCATAATCCAAGGCACAGATGGCAGAGGCATCAAGAATGCAGGCTCCTTGCCGAAACCGGTTTGGCTCAGTGGATAGAGCGTCAGCCTGCAGACTGAAAGGTCCCAGGTTCGATTCTGGTCAAGGGCATGAACCTTGGTGGTGGGTACATTCCCAGTAGGGGGTGTGCAAGAGGCAGCTGATCGATGATTCTCTTTCATTGATGTTTCTAACTCTCTATCCCTCTCTCTTCCTCTCTGTAAAAAGTCAATAAAATATATTTTTTTAAAAAGAAAAAAAGAATGCAGGCTCCCAAGTGAGCTGGCTTGGTTTGGAAAGCTAGCTCTATCGCTTAGAAGCTGTGTGACTTTGGGCGAATTAGTTAACCTTTCTGGACTCCAGCTTTCTCATCTATCAAAGCACAGTACCTACTTCATAGTAAGATAATCTACGCAAAGCACAGGGCCGGACACACGACAGTGTTGTCAAATAGTAATAGTAATAGTGGCCATAAGTTCTTATTAGAGTATTGTCTCTGGGCAAGTCACCTCCCTTGCCTGGTGAATGTCAGTCACCCAGAGAGGATCCTCTCCCAGCTTCCTCCACCCTCCTTTCCCTGAGTGTCTTGTGTGGAGCCAGGAGGACTGCCTGGAGGAGGCAGACTGGCCCGCAATCAGGGTTACCTTGGACCGGTACCACTCCTCTGCCTCATGCATGTTGCTGGACGCCACTGCCTCGTACTGGGTGCGGATCTCTCTCAGGGCCGCGGTGAGGTCTGGCTTGGCCACATCCAGCTCCACGTGGACCTGCTGCCGGGCCAGCTGCCCCTGGAGCTCCCGCACTTCCTGGCCGGGCGAGAGAAGGGAGAGCAGGGCTCAGAGCCCAGGCCACAATCGGGGTTTCCCGACTGACTGCCTGCCTGTCGGACATCGATGCTGGCTAAGGGAAATGGGACAGCCCTAGTCGGAGGGACGTGCATGGCTCAGGCTAGAGGAGGCGGGGGTACGGAGGAGATTTGGGGCCTCATGGTGTCCTCCCCCAAGGCCTGGATAGGCAGGAGCACGGAAAGTGTACCCGTGTCATTATGAGAGAGTCTGCGTTCCTGTGCGTGTGTGCCCTTGGGTTCCCAGGTTCCACGGGGTCATGAGCTGAGGTCAGAGCTAATTGGGATCTGTTTCCTTATGAATGGTTCTCGGTCAAATGGAGACAGATGGCAGGATGAATGGAGTCAGAGAGACTGTATGGTTTTTAGCAAGTCCTTTAATGTTTTTGGTCTGTGAAAAGGAGATTATACGGAAAGGTCCCCTCCCACAGGGCTGTAGTGAAGAGAAAGAGGTCACAGAGCTTTTGTAATGCTCAATGAGTGGAGTGTGTCTCTGTGTGCATTTACCAGGGGCTGTTGATGCTCTCATGTCTGCTTCTATTTCTGTCTTCCTCGATTTCTCTTTTTGTTTTTAATCCTCCCCTTCCCCCCCAGTTCCAATCTTTGTGTTGGGCTTTACCTCTTCATGGATCTTCCTCAAGAACTGGATTTCCTCCTCCAGAGACTCAATCTTCCTCTCCAGATCCAGCCGGGCCAGGGTGGCTTCATCTGCCTCCTGGAGCAGGGAGGAGGCAGAGGGTCACTCTGACCCCAGACTCTTCCCCCCATTCCCTGGCCTTGTCTGTCCCCCGCTTCGGGGGCTGGGAGAGCAGCACATTGCTCAAGAGGGCTGGCGGGGGCCCGTGTTTGGGGGCTGTCACCAACCCTTCCCCCCTCCTGCACCCACCCTTCACCCCTGACCTGTCGATAGGCGGCCAGGTTGTTCTCTGCCTCCAGCCTCAGGTTGGTTTCATCCTGGAGCCTGGGGTGGGGGGACACAGTCCTGGCTCCATGCTCTTCTGAGGACTCTTGGGCCCCTTTCCCAATCCAGAGGGCACCCCCAACCCAGGACTAGGGGAGGGGCCGAAGGAGAGCCTTGGCCAGGAAGGTGAGCAGAAGGGGGCCTTTGCTCTAACTCATTACTAAGGTGCCTGTCAGGGTTGCTGCACCTGCTCCTGCTCACATAGGAACTTCCACCAACACACACTCACTGCTGCTGGCACGCACGCGTGCACGCACACACACACACACACGCACACACGCACACACATCCTCCTGCCCTTGAGGGTACTCATGCATGCCCAGCTGGCTGAGCAAAGCACCAAGCCCCTGGGGTGCCCCCTGGCTTTTGGAAATGGGTGTTAATAAAATCTCTGCTGCACAGCTGTGCAAGGTGAAGCCTTGGCTAGGATCCTAAGCTGATGACAGACAAAGTCCCCTGTGTTCCGAAGCTGGGCTTTCCTCCTCTTTTCCCCATTTCTCCCCCCCCCCCCCAGCCCGATCCTCCTTGGGCACCCCAGCCTTCCCTTCCCTCTGTGAACCCGGGCTCAGAATAGGTGTGCTCCCCTCCCACAGGGCCCCAGCGTGAATGAAGCACACACACCCTGCCTGCTGGGACCCCTCACTGCTCTAGCACAGACTCCCTAGGGGAGGTGCTGAGAGTATCCTCTTTCCTGGCAGAAGGTCTTGGGGAATCAAATCCCCGAGGCCCTGAGCCTCCTCCCAGTCCCTGCCATCCTTTGGGGAGCAGGGACAGCCCTCCCTTCCCAGAGATGTGGAAAGCAGGGAGCAGGGAGTCCTCCCGGCTCAGGAGGCCCCTCCCCCGGGGCCCTCCTCACTTCTGCCGCAGGGTGCCCAGGTCCTGGGCCAGGTTGTCCCTCTCCGCCTCTAGCCGGGCGCTGTTGGCGGTGAGGTGATCGAGCCGCAGGCGCAGCTCCCGCAGCTCGGCCTGGTAGACGTCGGCCAGCTTGGTGGGCTCCTTGGCCCTCAGCTGGTTCAGCTCCGCGGCCAGCGCCTTGTTCTGCTGCTCCAGGAAGCGCACCTTCTCGATGTAGCTGGCGAAGCGGTCATTGAGCTCCATCATCTCCGCCCGCTCGCTGGCCCGTGTCTCCTTGAAGCCGGTGTTGAGGGCCCCGGCCAAGGAGAAGTCCACCCGGGCCGGGAGTGGGGGTGGCATGCGAGCCAGGGAGAAGTGGGTGCTGGGACCCCAGCGGCGGCTGGGAGCCGGGCCCCCCACCACCATCTCGGAGGAGGAAGCAAAGGAGCGGCGGGCAGCCGAGGTGACCCGTCTCCTCTCCATCCTGGCCTGGCTCTGCCGGCTCCCGGGATGCGAGGAGGGCTTTATAAGGAAGGGGCTGTCTTGACTCAGCCCAGATTGTCCCTGGAAACACCCCCTGGCATAGCCTGAGGAGGTGGGGCTGGGTTGCAGTCCAGCCATGGGGAGACTTCTTCTCACCCCACTGAGGTCACTGTGCCCAGAGGCAGGCCTCCTGGGTGTGCCAGCCCCAGCCTGGCCATAGTCAGAGGTACTGGTGGGCAGTGTCTGGGGCCAGAGGCTGGGGCTGAGGCCCAATCACTGGACAAGCAGACCCTCTCTCTAGGAAGATGGGTTAAGAAAAGGTTGGACCAGGTGACCTTTGACCTGCCTCTAACTCTTAGGCCCCATAACCCAGGCCTTCCCTCACTCAGCACTGCTCCTTCAGTGCCTGATGAGTGCTGCGAATGTGACAAAGAACAAGCCTGCTCCATACCCTTAAGGAACAGCCAATGTTACAGTTTCTTCTTTAAAAAAAAAAAAAAAAAAAAAAAAAAAAAAAAAAAATTATTGATTTTTTACAGAGAGGAAGGGAGAGGGAGAGAGTTAGAAACATCGATGAGAGAGAAACATCAATCAGCGGCCTCCTGCACACCTCCTACTGGGGATGTGCCCACAACCAAGGAACATGCCCTTGACCGGAACCGAACCTGGGACCCGCAGGCTGACGCTTTATCCACTGAACCAAACCGGCTAGGGCTGTTGCAGTTTCTTGCCCAGCCAATTCCCAACTGATAGCTGGAGTCCGTTCCTCTGAATTCAGGCATCCCGCACGCCTGCTTTCTTCCCATTCCCTGGAGTTCCGGGCTGGGACTGAAATTGATCCCCGGCCTTTTGTCTGGGGTGGCGATTGCCAACCGGTGGTCTGCAGACTGCTGGTGGTCCGTGAGGTCCGAAAGGTGGGTGACAGCTGGCCTGGAGGGTCAACTGAGGCCTCTTTCTAGCAGTAGGGGATGATGAAAGGAACTTGGGGGTCCTGACAGGGCAAGAGGGGGCAGGCACTGCACTCTCTGGCCCTTTCCCAGCCTCAGTCTCACAGGGCTCACCTTTCTGCGCGCAGCTTCCCGGCACCCCCTCCTGGAGCCCAGGCCTTGACAGCTCCACAAAGCAGTTATGAATGAGCTGGCTGTCCCAACTCCCATCTTTGTTCCTGTAATACCCTGTTTCCCTGGCCACCCCTCACCTCCCTCACACTGGAGATTCATCTCCTTCGAGTTCCCACACATCAGGTGGAGAGGACGGGGGAAGGCCTCCAGGAATAGGTGGGTTTGGGAACCCAGGAGCCAGTGCTTCCAAACTGGGAACCTGGACCCGGGCCCTGTTGCCCCTTGAGACTTCAAATCTATCTACGCCTTTTACTCTGGTCCAGCGGGGTCAGCACCCCACCCGGGACCCCCACCCATCTGTGTCCTTGGACTTCTGGGAAGTGGGCAGCCTTCCCACCCCCGCTCCGCCTGCTGCCCCTGCCGGGGCCTCTGAGCCCTTCTCCTGGGCACTTGCTGAATGGAGCCTTGTTCGCGGCCGCCAGGGAGGGCGCCGCACGCATGGGGAGGGCAGCCCGCAGGGGGCTGTGCTGCTTTTATCCCGGGATGTTAGGCTGTGAGGCAGGGCGCCGCCCACACCCCCTGCTCAAAGGATTTCTCAGAAAGCAACTGATGGGGCTGGCGTGGAGCTGGAAGCGGGCTCTGTGCCCACCCCAGACCATTGTGACTGTGCCAAGGTGAGTCATTCAGTGGGCACGAGGGGGAAGGCCCCGGGGGTGGCCAACCCCGCGCTGCCAGGTCTCCAGCTCTGCAGACAGGGCCTGGCTGCTCGCCCCCTCCCCAGCTCTCAGAGGCAGCTCAGGCCCCTGCGCTGGGACTCACAGGGGGAACCCCGGCAGGCAGCCCATAACGTGCCCGCATGGAAAGCGTCTTCCCCAGCATCCTGCGTGTGAGTCCCAGCACAGGGAGAGGAGGGAAGAGGCCCCAAGTCTTAGCCGCATCTGACCCCAGGGCTTGAGCCGTTTCTTGGCGAGGGAATCCTGAAGGGGGTGCTAGTAGTGACTTTTGATCTTGTCATGGGTGGAGGGGCTGGGGAGAGACATTATTTGTATTGCACATTCAATGTAGAAAAATCAGAAAACACAGATACTCAGAATAAAAAAAAAATGAATTAGCCATAATTTTGCCACCTGGAGATAAATACTACCAGACTCCCCCCCCCCCCCCCCCAAACACACACATATAAATTCATGTTTTCACAAGGGGGCTCATGTTGTACAACTTATTTTGTAATTTGCTTTTTGCACTCAGTGTGCTAGGGACATTTCCCCATATAAATAAATATGTATCTAGCCTGGCCGTGGTGCTCAGTGGTTGAGCACCTATGGACTTAGGTCACGGTCTGGTTCCCAGTTGGAGCACATGCCCAGGTTTCAGGCTCAATTCCCAGTGGGAGGCGTGCAGGAGGCAGCGGGTCAACGATTCTCTCTCGTCATTGATGTTTCTCTCTTTCCCTCCCCCTTCCTCTCTCTGAAGTCAATGAAAACATATTAAAAAGTATAAATAAAAATAGTATTTATCCACATCTGTGGAGCACGGCTACAGCGTTTGGACAGGTTCAAGCCTCAGACTAATGGAGAGGGCACGGTCTTCTGGGCAAAGCCACGTGCAAGTCCCAGCACAATTGGATTGGCCCTCCCAGCACAGTGATAGCCAAAGGCTATGGCTGTGAGCTTGACCTTATGGTCTGAACCTGTGGTCCCACGTGGCTGAGTGAGATGGGCTGTGGGAGGTGCAGCAAGTAAACAAAGCTTGATCAGGTGCATGTATTTGAGTAGATTCAAAACCCGGGAGAACGTTGTAAACATCTTGACCACGCTCTTACTTTACCTCGTGGAATCGGCTATAAAATAAAGACTCGGTTTGCAGGCTGTGGTATTGTCTCTCCATCAGGGCAGCGTCCCTCCCTAGCTTAATTCTCTTGTCCATCTTCTCTATCCTTCACCGCCCCCTCTCAGGTTCACCCATGACTGTGCTGGCTCGGCACATGCATCATCATTCTAAGAGCTGTATGGTTTTCTTCTATATGAATTAATTTAACTAAATCCTATTAGATAGTTGTGTTCTCCCACTCCCTCTCTGCACACATACACACACACACACACACACACACACACACACACACACAATGATGCACATCTGCCCCAGGCAGACACAGCTCCCAGCCTCCACTGCTATTTGCATTCTCCTGGACTGGCTCAGGTCCCATCTACATGGTGTTTCCTCTCCTGCTTCACCAGCCTGAGGGCCTCAACATCTAAAGCCTCAGGCCAATCCCTAGACCAGTGGTCAGCAAATTGTGGCTCTCAAGCCACATGCGGCTCTTTGGCCCCTTGAGTGTGGCTCTTCCACAAAACACCACGTGTGGGCGTGCACACACAGTGAGATTGGAACTTCGTGGCCCATGCCCAGAAGTCGGTTTTCGGCTCTCAAAAAGAAATTTCAATCATTGTCCTGTTGCTATTTGGCTCTGTTGACAAACGAGTTTGCCCACCACTGCCCTGGACCAACTTTTTCACTGGACAGCGGACAGCTGTGGACCACGGGGAGAGGATGCCGAATACCCCTCCACAGGGCCTTCAGCTGAGTCATGTCCCACTTCAAGTTGAAGTAGGTATAAGATGACCTTCTACGCCCTGCACCCCCACCCCTGTGTCATAAATCTGTCAAGATGCCCGTCTGCCCACAGGCCCCACGTGTCTCTCAGGACAGGCCAACGACTACGCCTGGCCTCAACCCATGCACAAGGTGCGCAGTGTTTTCCAGATTTGCCAACCTCTAATTCAAGTGGCTGTTCTGCCACTAGACTGCCGCCCACTGGTTCTGGTTGAGCCCCTGCCGCTCTCCCGGTGCCCGCCCAGCACGGTGGGCAGCAAGTGTAGGTGGGATGGAGAGAATGAGTCTCTCTGGCTGACCACTCAGTGTGTCCATTCCCTGACCGTCTCTGAGGAAGGGAACCGGGCCCTGGTGGCCACTAGATGGCAGTGCTCAGCTTACCAGGTCTGGAGGCAGCGAAAGGGGGGACTCACCCAGAGGCATCACCCCCTTTATTTTCCAGAGCTGCCTCTGACTGCTGCGGCAATGCCCTCTACGGAAAGAGCAAGGCTGTGGCTACTCAATAGCTGTATGATCTTGGCTGACTTAAGGTCCCGTCTCTGAGTCTCCATTTCCATTATCTGTAAAATGGGGACTAGCCATACTTACTTCGAAGGCAGTGAGGGTAAAAGCAGTGAAAGCCGGATGCAGCAGGTGCTTGATAAACCATAGCTCCCATTTAATAACACCTACTAGGTGATTTACAGATCTACACGTGAGCACGTTTGTGATGGGGTGGGCGCGGATTGGAAGCTGGGTCCTCGGGGAGAGGGGCTGCCATGTCCTGTTGACTTCACGGTGGGTGGAGCAGGGGCCGTGTGTTCCCACCTCCCACACTGGGCAGCCAGTTGGCAATGTGGACAGGACGCAGGGGGCGGCAACAGCAGCCGGTGAGGACAGGGTGGGAGTCAGGTCTGTTCGCCCCTCGCCCAGCACCGTTCGCCCCTGGCTTTGGGTTTCCCGGGGGACACGTGTAAGCTCCCTCCAACTGCCCAGGAGGAGCTCAGCGTGGAGGCTGTCTCCCAGTCTTCCTGGCCTCCCTGACTCCTCCTCTCTTGCCCTTCTCCAGCCCTAGACTAGAGGCCAACTCCATTGAGTTTGAGAAGCTGTTGGATGGGGCTGGCTCTTCTGCACCTCAGCTCGCTTCCCGAGGAGAAGGGCCACGCCTTCCCTCATGGATGGGGGCTTCCGAATGCTGGGACCTGAGCCAGACTGAGATCACCCTAAGGATGAGGTCTGTTTCCCCTTTCAGACTAAGGTACCCATAGGACAGGAGCCGACCTCTCCCCATGGGTGGAGCTCCCTGACAGAAGGACCCGTGGTTCACTGTCAGCGGGAGGCCCCTTGAGGGCAGAGGTTATCTCCTTCCAGTTGGAGGATGGCTGCCCCAGGCCAGGGTAGGTTCCTTTGCCATCCACAGCCTGTGCCCAGCCAGCCTCTGCTGGTTAGAAGCACCAACTCCTGTGGCTGCAGAAGGAGTCCTGGATGCACCCCCCCCCCCTCTCCTTCCCTTTCCCCTTCCCTGCCGCCTCTCAGCACGTCGTCGTCATGTGAAGCATCATCAATTCACTCACCTGCACAGACCCAGGGGCCAGGCTGCTTCATTGGGGTTAATAAGATCGAGCTCTTTCTTTCCCCTTCCTCCCCCCTCCCAGCCAGGGCTCACTCCAGCCTCCCCCATCCCTCACCTCTCACCCCGAGACCCACTTTTTAATTGCTTTCTCCCCGATCTGCTCTGCTCCTCGCTCCCCTCCATCTCCCTGCCTGACTGCATCCCTCTGGGAGGGTGAGAGGCGGGGACCAGATGTGTCCCCGGCTGGAGAGGGCTGGCAGGCAGTCTGTTATTTCCAACCCAGTGGTCCTCCAAATGGACAGGATGAGCCAGGGGCCAGCGGTGGGAGGGCTGCGGAGAGTGGAGGGGAGCCCTTTGGTGGCTGGAAAAGCCAGTTTGCAGGATCCTCGGGGTGACTCTGGTCCCTTCTACTCCCAAAACCTCCCCCTCAGTCCTCCTGGGTCCTCCTCCACAGAAGAACCGTGGAGGAAGGGAAGATGGCCATGAACTAGGATGGACCTGGGAACCGGGATCCCTCCAAGCTTAGCCAAGGGCCAGAAGGACATTCCTAGGGGAACCTGGGGGCATAGAAGCGGAAGTCTGTGGGGGCCAAGCAGATGGCTGCGGTGGGCAGGCCTAGAGGGGAAAGCCCAGTCCTCTCCCTTTGACAGTCTCTACACCGGTGCAGGGCTGGCTTACTCTCAGGGACAGGAGCCAGTGCTATCCTGACGTCCTGAATGAAGGGACCATGTCTTGTTCTCTGTATGAAGCTCCTGGCACCGAGTGGGGTTCTCTGAACTGGGCAGGTGTTTGCGCCCCAGAGTGGGGTCCAGACCTGAGCTGCAGGGCCTGAGGTGGGTGAGAAGGGCCTGGGAAGAGAGTACTTCCAAACTCCCAGGAGTGGAATGAGGGGCTCTGCCCAGGCCAGCGAGGCGGAAGAGGCAGGGAGAGGGACCTTAGCGCAGGCTGGGCCCTCGGTGGAGAGCCATCGAATGCCGTGCTTCGCGGGTGACTCTCTTTATGTAAAAACAATCCAATCTTAGACTCCAGTCCCGCCCACGGAGGTCAGTGGGGAGCTGGCTGTCAGCTCACTGCTGCCCTCGGCACCAGCCGGCTCCCAGTAAACGGGGACCAGCCAGGCTGCCTTCTGGGGAGCAGGCACTCTCAGCCCGACCTCCTGTGATCGAGGGCAGGAGCCACATATGCTTAACTCCATCGGCAGAGTCTTTGTACGTTTAATGGGTCACCCGAGAGCACATTTTGCACCGCGGAGCCACGCATGTTTGCTGAGCGAATAGCCGTCTGCAGGACATCCTTGCCTAGTGACCTCTTCCACAAGCATGAGCTGCCCCCGGCCCAAGTGAATCCTGCCTCGTGCAGTGGACTCCGCTGGCCCCCGTGCCAGCCGCCCACCTTGCCCTGTGCCTCTGCCTCTGCCCTTGCAGGGCTGGAGGTGGTGGTGACCAAATGAGATAATATATGTGAGGGCCCCAGGAAACGGGAAGTTATTCCATTTGAATCCGACCAGCGCTCAGCAAGGCCTCCTAAGGTCACAGCGCCATGCCGGGCTGCTGGGGGCTACCGATGTGAAGCTGTGACTGCTTCTGTGGGAATCACGGTACGCAGTGGGGGAAAACTCATTAAGACTAATTGGAGAGGAGAAACCTCAGGCATGCAGGAAAAAACGGGTGCCTGTTCACTTCTAAAGGGAAGCAGCTTGGTGCCAGGCGAAGGAGCAGACCTTGAGTCCTGACATGCCACTTGGTGCCCAATTTTGGGCATGCTTTTTTTCTTTTTAAAATATATTTTTATTGATTTCAGAAAGGGACAGGGAGAGAGGTTTACAAATATCAACGATGAGCCCTAGCCGACTTGGCTCAGTGGCTAGAGAATCAGCCTGTGGACTGAAGGGTCACAGGTTTGATTCTAGTCAAGGGCACATGCCTGGGTTGTGGGCTCGATCCCCAAGTGTGTGTGTGTATAGGAGGCAGCCAATCAATCATTCTCTCTCATTATGGATGTTTCTATCTCTCCCTTCCTCTCTGAAATCAATATATATATTTTAAAAATCAGTGATGAAAATCACCGATCAGCTGCCTCCTGCATGCTCTCTACTGGGGATTGAGCCTGCATCCTGGGCATATGTCTTGACTGGGAATCTAACCATGTCCTCCTGGTTCACAGGTTGACGCTCAACCACGGAGCCGCGACAGTCAGGCTGAGCGTGTTTTGTTGGACTTTTTGAGTCGGTCTCATTAGGACTCCTAGGATCTCCAAGCTGTGTGAAGACGCCTGCAGCTGGCAGGAACTTGGGGCTCGGCTCTGTGCCCTCTCCACTCCTCCAAAAAGGAGTCACACCTGAGTTGGGAGAAGCTCAGCCGAGTGAAGGCTGCTCTCCCCAAGCAGCCGGGACCCCTTTGACGTTAGTGGCATTATTTACACGCCACAAGCAACGTGTTAAATGCCGTTAACGTGCTTGTTTTCAGAAGTGGGTTAAACACAGACTCCTGTAACGCTGTTTACACTGAGTTCATTCAGACAGCCATGTCTTCCCCGAGAGACAGAGGGAACTGGTGAACTGTCACAAGTGAGTCAAGAGGAAAGCGCCCGCGGGGATGGAGTGGGGCGTTTGGGAGACAGTGGGAGGGAGGCTGCCCTGGGTTCAGGCCTGTTGGGACTTGGCTTGGAGCCTCACCTTAGCTTAGAGACCTGGGGACCACTAAGATGCTCTCCCTGACCGTCCTGGTGACCCTCACCCACCCTATAGAGCAGACTGGCCTGTCTGGTGTAACTGTCTTCACCCTCTCAGGAGCAGACCTGAGGCTGCAGGAGGCAGAGGGGAAAGTTTTCTAAATTCAGATTCGTGAGGTCTGAGAGTGCGAAGGTGAGAAAGGGAAGGCGTGTTGCCGTTCTACCCGAGTACAGAGAGAAACGTACCTCCAAGATAGAGATGGTTTATTAATCATTGTAACAAAAATAGATCTATGTATACATGTGTATATGCAGAAATAATGGATCAGAGGATACGTATTCACAACTTTTATAGATGCTAGTATTAAGGCTGAATTTTTTTTTTTATTTAAATTATTTTTTGTTAAAAATATTACATGAGTCTCTTTTCCCCCCCATTGACCTCTCCTTGGCTGCTTCTACCTCCCCCCGCCCCTTTCTTCTTTTTGTAAAAATTCATTTTTAGAGAGAAAGGAAGAGTGAAACGATTGTCTGCCTCTCATACATGCCCCAACTGGGGATCAAACCCACAATCTAGCTATGTGCCCTCCCCGGGAATCAAACCCGCCACCTTTGGTGTACAGGACGACACCCCAACCACCTGAGCCACTGGGCCAGGGCTCCCTTTCTTCTTCACACTGCTGTTTACACCGAGTGTGTAGCCTGTTCAAATAAGGATAAAAACAACGATGCTGTCTTCATTGGGAAATCAAGGCACCACCAATCTCCTGCATTGTCACCAGGACTGTGGCTTTTGCTCCAGGCTGGGGGGATGGGGCTGAAAATGTCCCTTCTTCAAAACCAGGAAGAACCAAACTGGGGCTCCCCACCTGGCCCCCTCCTCCTCCTCATCCCTCCTCCATCATTAGACAGAGCCCTGTTAGACTGGGGGACAGGGAGCAAAGCCCTCCAGCCACCGGCCTGCGGGGAAGGGGTGGGGGGACGATGATGGTAGCACCTTTAAAATAGCAACACATTAACACTCACAACTGAATATATACATGCTGAGAAGCTGAATGTAACAAGAGATTAATAAGAGCACGAGTAGCAGGATGAATGATGGAGAGGAGAGCTAGTGAGGAAGAGGGTGCTGGCGTTAATTGCTCCAAGCTGAGGAAGGCAGGCAGGTGCCGGCTGCTCCAGGACCCAGGAGGGGCCAATGGTCAGGACGCCTTGGCAACACGTCTCCCGGCTGACAGCGCGCCCCTAACCCTCGTCAGTTCCCTCTGGCTCCGAGGGCTGCCAGGCTGTGGGGACGGGAGGGGGCTCTGCAGGCCAGTGGGTGGGCCAGTGGGTGGGGGAGGCAGGGAGGAAGGAGACAAGTAAAGCTCGGTCCCACCGCTCTCTTCCATCCACCTCCCATCTGTCATCAGGATTCCTGCGATGCTCGGAAGTACTCCCAGGTCCTCGGGTCTCTGCCCACCTTGTCACTTCCTACTTCCTGTTTTCATCTGTCACTGCGGCCGAGACCATCCCTGTCCCCAGTGCTAGTCACCGGGGGCGGTGAGGGACTCTGCGAGCCTCTTCAGGGTGCTGCTGGGGAGGCGGGCGATGCGGCTGCGGCGGGAGATGGCGGAGCTGAGGGCGGGAAGGGAAGGTAGAAGGTCACACTGTGCCCCTGGATGGGTGGGGATGGGGGTGGGCCTGGACACCAAGCCTTGAGCACCCACAAGTACTCCCCAGGCCAGATGTGAGGGTGTGAGAGGGGTGGGGGCGGGGAGCTCTGTGGGGTTTGGGAGGGAAGCAGAGGTGAGGGGCTGAGCAGTCCATTCCCTGGATTAACCAGTGAGCACTCCACGCCTCTCTCATGAAGAGGGGGCCTGAGGCCTTGAGCCAAAGAAGGTAGCTACCCTTCACCTGTAGCAGCAAGGGCCAAGGGAACTCAGTCAGACCCAGCCGCTGGCCCTGCTCTCGGCGCTCCCGCTCCTGGCTTTCAGGGGTCCAGCCCAAGTGTCCACCGCCCTGTTGAAAGCTTCTCTCCCCAACCCTCCCCCTAACCCTCCCCCACCCTCCCCACCTCACCTCACCACGCGCCTCTTCTTGCGGGCTGAGGCCTCGGGGAAGGAAGATGCTGGCTTGGGGCCCTTGGTGGTGAACAGGGGCGCTGGTCCACTGCGGGAGGGAGAGGGGGAGGGAGGCAGGTCAGGGGGAAGCAGGAGGCCCCGGCGTGGGGGGCGGGGAGGCTGGACAGGCCGACCTCTGAGGCTTCTTCCTACTAAAGCGGCCGATTCCTCTCCCCGCCCCTCGGCCAGGCTGACAGCTGAGTGACAGGCCTGCTCTGCGAGGACATCCAGGTGTCAGTTTCTGGTGTGTCCAGGGAGCTGGAGTTCAAACGATTCCACCCCTCCACCTGCCCGCCCGGAGCTTGTTACTGAGCAGTGGTTCGGGCTGTGGGGGAAGTGGGGGTGTGGGGGGCGGCCTGCCGCCCTCGGCCTCACACAGCCGGGCGTCTGCCACTTGTTCTTGCCCTTGGTCTGTCCTGGGCTGGCTGCTGTCCCCCCACTCTGACATGCGGTGGAAGGTGCGGGTAAGAGCTTCATCTTCTCTGAAGAACGCCGAATAACGTTTTCTGGGGATCCCCCTTCTGGTTCCACATGCCAGGCTAGACGGTAAAATCTGGGGGCGGCGGCGGCGGCAGACAGAAGTATTTCTCAGGGGCACACAGAACGCCAATCGGGGCAAAGGACCCCAGCGATGCAGAGGGACAGAGAGGGCTGGACTGCCCTCATGAATTCCTGCTCCCTGCTCACCCTCCCCAGGTGGGGTCCCCTTTGTAGCTCCTCATGGCGGGCCTCAAACCAGCAGAGCTGGAGCCTTGAAATAAACAGACCAAGCCGGGCCCCTGAGAGTAGCAATGGCTCCCCGAAACTGTGTGCTCTGCCCGGGGAGTGACCTGGCCAGACCAAAGGGGAAGAGGCAGCAAACGTCCAGGCTCCGAGAGCAGGGCCGAGTTTCACTCCTCCAGGCGGCACCCTGTCCCCTGCTGGGAGGGGAGACTCACCTGGGGACGAAGGGCTGATCCAGCCTGTGCGGGGGCACGTTCTCCCAGCCGGCGCGCTCATGGAAGCCCAGCTTGGAGGGGGTCTCCTCGGAGAGGTCGAAGGTGATGTTGAGGTTCCGCGCGGGCAGGGCCAGTGGGGTGGAGCAGTTCTGCAGGGCGGAAGGGCCCAGAGGCACCCGGCTTTTGACGACCGTGGCTGGACAGAAGCGAGGGGAGTGGCAGGGGGAGGAGCCCCTTCCCTTTTTGGGGGGGGTGGGTCCGAGGGAAGGCTGAGTCTCGGGCAGGGACCCCCTTCGCAGGCAAGGCAGGAAGGACTGGTGCTGGCGCTTGGTCCCCAGCCTTGGGGCTTGCTGACTGTCCTGCTCTGAGCGGCTCAGTTTCCTTCTCTTCTTCTCCACGGATGGCAGAGATGCCTGGGCAGAGGTGCCGTCGGGCTCAGGTGGCACCCCCACACTGGGCACGAGGCCACTCAGCTGCCTTGCCATGGTGCGAGTCACAGGGCCAGAGTATCCTGGAAGCTCTGGGTAGAGAGAAGGAGGGTGTTGAGAGATCAGGGACTGCGCAGAAAAAGTAAAGTTTCTGGAATTTGGGGAAGAGACGTGGGAGAGATGCAGGAGACCCTAACTCCTCAGCTCTGCCAGGGCTCTGGGGCCTCTCTGCACACCCTCTGATCCCAGAGGTCCTTTCCCAGCTCCTGACACCCCAGCTACCCCTCAGCACCAGCTGGCTTTGGAGATGGCACCAAGAGGCAGAAGCAGAGCAGGGGTGAGACTCACTTGACTCTGAACACGGCTCCTGAGCCGGAGGTGCCTCCCTGGCTGGGCCAGGAGTCCTGGAGGCCTCGGCTCCAGGCCCGGGTTCTTCCTCTCGCACCAGCTGCTGCAGGGTCTTGAACTCTGCAATCATGTCAGGGGTCAGGAGGTTGGCTGCCTGGAGCAGGGAGTACTGTCGCCGGGCCAGGCTCAGCACCTTCAGCACCAACCTGGAACAGAGAAGGGGATGCCTGTCCTTTTTTCCCAGGGTCCCCACTGCTCCAGGTGTGGGGAGGAGCTCAGGTGGGCTGCCTGCTCCACCCTCCCAGCCACAGCTCCCGCGATGCCACATCCCTGCTGAAGAAGGGCTGGCAGAGACGGTCACAGATAATGGTGAGAGGCTTCACCCACCGAAACCTGCCTCCCGACAGACAGCGACCTAAGAAGTAGGGGAAGGGTGCCATGTGGCCTGGGACTCAGCAGGTGCAGTGATCTTGAGTAAGCTCATTTACCAGAAGGGCAATGAAAGGCAGTGGTGAAGAGCCAGGCTCAAGTCAGACTGCCAGCCTGGCAGCTCAAACCCCTGTTCCACACTTCCCACCAGCTGAGCTGGGACCACTGCTTACCCCCAGTCTCCACTTCTTTTAAACGGAGACAACCCACCTCATCAGATTGTTGGGAAGATGAAATGAATTATTTTATACGGAGAGTGTTTAAAGAATACTTGATGCCCAGCTGGTGTGGCTCAGTGGTTGAGCATTGACCTAGGAACCAGGAAGTCAGTTTGATTCCCTGTCAGGGCACATTCCCGGTTGTGGGCTCGATTTCTAGTGTGGAACAAGCAGAGGCTGCCAATCAATGATTCTCTCCTGTCATTGATACCCGCCCCCACTTTCTCTCTCTCTCCTCCCTGAAATCAATAAAAACAACAATAATAAAAACACAAACCTGGCATATGTACTCAAGAGTGAGCACTATAGCCAAAACTGGTTTGGCTCAGTGGATAGAGTGTTGGCCCGTGGACTGAAAGGTCCCAGGTTCGATTCCGATCAAGGGCTCATACCTTGGTTGTGGGCACATCCCCATTGGGAGGTGTGCAGGAGGCAGCTGGTCGATGTTTCTCTCTCATCGATGTTTCTAACTCTATCCCTCTCTGTAAAAAAAATCAATAAAATATATATTGGGGGGAAAAAAAGTGAGCACTATAAAGTGAGCTAACTATTGTTTCCTGTAAAGCAGAAATAATGCCATCTACCTTATTAGGATACGAGGAAATGAAATAAGACAGGCTGTGTGATCTGGGTGCTGAGAGGGCCCCTAAAAATGCCTTCAGCCTGTGCTTTCTATTGCATGGCTGGGATGCTGGAAGAGTACGCGTGAATCAATGCACACTTCACAGGCACTGAGGGGCTACTTAAGGGAAATTATGAGCGTAATGCGATTATTGATGTTGTAAATTTAGATTCTAATAAAGCAAATTTCCTTTCTGTCAGGCACACCTCCGATAAGAGAGAAAACACAATTATCTCGGTGGGGATTATTCACGGCCAATAATTTGTCCTCAGGTAGCATCATCCTCTACCTGCCCGGACCCCCCTGAGCCGCCCCCTCCGCCCTCCGTGTGCGCTCAGGGAAGCCGGGCTCATTTTGTAAAGCAGCCTCCAGGCCTTCTGGAAAGAAGGCAGGATATAAATTAAAAAGGACACAGCGGAAATCCACCCCATATCCGCCGGAGCGGATTAGACTGTTCGGGGAAGTGGCTGTTTGGGAGGAACAGACTGGCCAGATGTCAGACGAGCAGGTCTGGCCCCATCCCTCTCGCGTGGTTGTGTGGCCCCGGGCGAGCGCCTCGGGGCCCCACCTGACGAATGGAGGCTTGGTCTGTATCAGGGGTTTTCCGATCAGATGGGAAGAAACCCATCTGAGGACATTTCAAATGGAGCAACTCTGCCTTATCCGTTCGTTCCCCATGTCAGACGTCAGCGTGAGATTTCACTTGAAGGACTCGGCAGCAATAAAAAATTCTGAAAACCACTGAACTGGAACATCTTAAGATTGACTCCGTACCCTGGTGGTCTCAGATCCTGAAGTCTGAAGACAGAGAGGAATTATTTTTGATGATCTGATGGTTAACGTTTTTTTTTCAAGTATGGAGGCGATCAAGAATGTTCTGCAAGCCCTAACCTTTGGGGTCTCCTGTCACATTTTATTTGCACTTCAGCTCAAAGGCGTAGGGGAGGATAATGAGGGCTACGATCTCTAGATCACAGCCACACGACTGAAGCAACAAGGCCAGAAGCGAGAACCCAGGTGTCCGGGCTCCTCGCAATGAGGAGCCTGGCAGAGAGACCCCGAGCTGTAAGTGGGAGCCTGCGGCTGTTCCCTGGGCTCGAGGGGACGTCGCGCCCATGCGTCCCTGCCACTGCTGGGCCCCAGGGAGTCGGCAGCAGGAGCAGATAATAAGCCGCTGATTATTCAGGCTGCGGCATTTTTTTTTGCTGAGTTGGAAACAGACACTCCCCAACAAGAAATAAGATTAAACAGGCCCTTCTGTCTGAGCTTTAAATACACCGCCTAGCATGAAGCGTGCTGGGGAGGGCAGGGTGGGGTTGGCGGCAGCAGAGCTAAGTGGCAGGGGATTTATGTTCCGGGGGGCCCAGGGAGAAAATATTAGCAGCACCTCTCTATTAAGCACAGAAATAACGGTCTGAAATCAATCGCTCTGGCGTTGGGGGGTGGTTGGTATTTACTTCTGAGAAGAAACGGCGATGGCAGCCTGTGGGTGCGGAGGCACGGCAAACGCCGGGCTCAGGAAGGCTGCCCCTCCTCAGACTGGAAGGCAAAGCACGAACCCAGGGTCCTGCCCTAACTCGGTGCTGGCCAGCTATCCCGATGGAATTCGGTGTTTTGCTTCCCCTTTGTTGGTCTGCCAGCGATGTGGAGGCGTAAACAGAGAGAGGATAAATAAATAGAATAGGTGATGATATCAAGTTGTTAAAAGCAGATAATGGCCGGCTGGCTTGGCTCAGTGGCCGAGCATCGACCTAGGAACCAGGAGGTCACGGTTTGATTCCCGGTCAAAGGCACATGCCCGGGTCGCAGGCTCAATCCCCAGTGTGGGGCATGCAGGAGGCAGCCGATCAATGATTCTCTCTCATCATTGATGTTTCTCTCTCTCTCTCTCCCCCCCCCTTCCTCTCTGAAACCAATAAAATTTATTAGATTTTTTAAAAATGCAGATAATGGACATTGCTGAAAAAAATCTGACTCTTAACTAGAGCAGAACCAGAGCTTTTGTCCATTAGCACCAACTCCCACCCCAGGAGGCTGGGACCCATCTCTCCCTCCCTGGACCCCAGAGAAGAGTAAGGGGATACCTACTGCCTAGAACAGCCCTTTTCCAGGTCCTGTGGCGAGAGGTGGTCCTCGACTTGCTTGGCCTCCAGGGCCAGCCCCGGGGACTCCAGCAGTGACTGGCGGGGGCTCTGTGCTGACACCAGGACGGGAACCTGAAGAGGAAGGAAGTCATCAGGCAGCGGGTCCGTGATGACCTCCCTCCCTATGTACGCAGCTTCTAAAAGCCTCCCCCTCCGAGAGAGGGGATGGCAGCTCCTGGAAGGTCCAGTCCTCGCCTGGCTTTCCGTCCTCCCAGTCTCCATCCTCCCTGCCAGCCCTCCTGATGTAGCACAGCCTCCTCTCTTCCAGACACACAGGACCCGACAGCCTCCAAAGACTAACATGCGACCTCCAGGTAGAGAACCTGGGCCCGAGGGGACTCCCTGAGTCGGAAAGGGATTTCCTCGAATAGCCCACCAGCTCGAAGTCCTACCTCCTTGGCTGGGCCTCTGTCTTTGTCCTCCGAGGGCTGCTCCTGGTCCGAAGAGTCGCCTTCCCTGACCCTCTCCCCCTGGGCCCCTGCCCCCAGGCTTTCCTCCTGAAGGACAGCAGACCCTGGGTGGAGCTTCGGGGTGCAGGGCTGGCTGGGAAGAGGAGACGGTGGGGAGGAGCTGCAAAGGCTAAGGGGGAAAAGAGAGGTTAGGGGCAGGTGGGGGAAGCAGGGAGGGGGCAGGTGGTACAGAGCCCGGAAGGATGGATGCTTGGGTAACCAGTGAGCAGTAGCTGAGGGGGGCAGGAGGAGCCAGAAATTTTTGGTTTAGGAAACAAGGACATCAATCTCTTAACTGCACCTCCTTTTGAATAGCAGATGCTGCCTGTACAGGCGGGGGTACCATTTAATCATTTGACACCGAGCATTGTGGGTGCCGGTCAGTGTGCTGGGCACCGGGTGGGAACCCCTAGCTCCAGTGTCAGAACGGAAGCAAGGAGCCCTCGCCGCCCAGAAGCTGGGGAAGGGGGCCTTTCCCTGCCCAACTGGAGGCTGAGGCAGGTGCGGGGGCAGAACTCACGGAGGCTGTGGAGGGCCCGATGTGGGGGGCCGCGGGAGGTCCTGTTGTGGGGCCTGGGCTCCCGCCTCGTACATTCGAAGCTTCTCCCTCAGACTGGCTACCTGGAACCCAAACCGTCAGCTCCTCAGGGTCCCAAGTGAGCAGAGGAGGCAGGGGCTGCCCCCTCCCCCTGGCACCGAGTCTTGGCAGCACCCGTTCTTCTCCTCCCCCCCTCCACCCACCCCCTCCCCCGCGCCAAGGGGCCCCGCCTCCCAGCCATGCCCCCCGGGGGCTCCTCACCTCGGCCTGGAGCTGCTGGCAGACAGTGGCGTACTGGCTGATGTGACAGTCCAGGCTGACCACGTTGCTCTTCAGCTGGGACGGGGACACGGGGGAGAGATCTGTTTGTTCATTCGCAGTAGCTGTGAGCTGCCCCTGCTAAGGGCCGGGCACCGTGCCAGGCACCTCACCCACATCCCCGTGACTCACACTCACAACGGGGGAAACGGGCTTGGGGAGGTCAGTGGCTCTCCTGAGACCTCAGCCGGGGGCAGAGGCTGCCCTTGAACCCAAGACCCCTGACTGCGCTCAGCAGGCAGCCCGGGGCGAGCGAGAGGCAGGGGAAACCAGAGCCGCTCTGCCCTTATCTGTGTCACGTGTTGGGTGTTCATATTGTTTTGCTGCTAAAAGCAACTCAGCCTCGCCCTCCTGTTGCCTCCCTCTAGAGACCATTCTGCCTCAGTCGTCCGTCCAGTGCCGTACTTTACTCTTTTTTTCAGGTCGTGGAGACCATCCTGCCTCTCGCCCACGCGAGGTCTTCCCGAGGACAGGGACGGGGCCACTTCTGCCAGTTTCCCTGAGGACAGAGGCTCGGGGATGTCTCCCCTCAGCCCGGTGGGAACCCCTCGTTCCGCGCCCCGGAGACGGCCCCCAGCTCAGGCTGCACGCACCGACAGTTTGATCTCCTTGGCCCGGTCGGCGTACTTGAGGGTGTTGTACGTGTCCTCGTACGTCAGGCCGGAGGGGCTGATGGCGGCGATCATCACGGTGCGGCAGTTGCCCCCGATGGAGTCCTTGAGCAGCCGGGTCAGCTTGCTGTCCCGGTAGGGCACGTGGGTCTTGCGGCCCTGGGGGGGCAGCGAGCGGGCCGGGGTGAGGCGGCCGGGCCGGGCAGAGCCAGGCTGGGCCCTGGCCGCCTCTGGCCCCGGGGCCGAGGGGAGGAAGCCTTGGCTTTGGGCCCCCGGTGGCTGCGCTGTGGGGAGCCCTGGGCCTGGGCAGCCTTACCTTGGCGTCGGCCAGGGCGTTGAGGACGTTGATGAGGGCCAGCAGGGAGCGGTTGATGTTGGCGCCCTCCCGCAGCCGCTCCCCCTTGGCGTGGGTGCTGGACGCCCGCTCCGAGCCGGCCAGGTCGATCAGGCTCATCTTGGCCACCTGGAGGGCCTGGGTCAGCCCTGGGACCCGGTCCTGCTGCTTCACGAAGATCTGGGGGCGGAGGGCAGGGGTGAGGGGGGGTAGCTGGGCATCAGGAGCCCCGCCTTCGGGCTCCGACCCACGGCCCCTCTCACCTGGAAGATGGCGTGGGAGCGGGAGGAGGTGGCGTTGGCGTCGGTGGGGTGCTGGGTGCGGTTGCGGTTCCCCCGGGTCAGCATCTCCAGCAGCTGCTCGGCTGAGGTTGGCTGCAGAGGAGAAGGCCGGGAAGGGAGCTGTGGCTTCCCCCAGCAGGCGGGCTGGTGTTCAGAGCCCCAGTCACCAGCACCGCCAGGGGGTACGGGGCACCCCCAAGCCGCCCGGCAAGGGAACTCTGCAGGACCCACGGGACTCCCACGGCCTCACCTGGTGGAAGGAAAGTCCCTGGACCACCACCCCCTTGTCGGGATCTTCTCGGATGGCCAGGGGCCCCTTGGGCTCCAGGAGGTCGTGGATCTGCTCGTTGTACACCTGAGGGGAGAGGGAGCAGGGAGAGACCTGGGGGCAGGGCCCTCCGGAGGGCTGAGCTTCTGGGCAGGGGAAGCAGGACCGCACACCAGAGGGGAGCAGCGTTTTGCGAGCTGGGATGGCGTTCAGTGACAGCAGGTTTAGTTCACACGCAGTTTCTGTCTGAGCTGTTTCTGTGTCTTTCCTCTGGGCTCTCTCTGGGCCCCCACCTGCCCCCTTCCTACCACCCTGCCCTCCCCCCCCCCCGCCTCTCCCCCATGAGGTGGTGTGAGAGGAGGGAGGGGCCGCCCGGACCGGGGAGGGGACAGCCTACCTCCTGGTAGCTGATGAGCACCTCGAATCGCTTCTCCTCCTGGCGGGCCTCCAGCCGCCGGTACAGCTCCATGGTGGTCAGGTACATGATGCCGGGGTCCCCCTCTCTGCCCAGCATGGTGTGCGTCTTCCCGGCCCCCGTGGCCCCGTAGGCGAACACTGCAGGGCACAGGGAGGGGAGTAGGGTGGTGGCAGGGCCAGACCCGCCTTCTCTAGTGGCTCCCGCTGTGCATTCCACCAGCTCACCCTCCCTTACCCTCCCCAAGCCCCTTCCTTTGCCTTCCACCTGCTCCCAATCACTCACCTCCCGCCCCATGTTTGCACTGCAGCTTGGGGTCCCCCTTCTACGCCCCGGCTTCCCTACAGGTCTGCCAAGTCCAGGGCAAAGGGGTCTGCATGGGGGGGGTGCTCCTCCCTGCCACAGGGACCCTCTCCTCTGCTGAAGGCCCAGGGCTGGTTCCCTCCATCACTCACCTCAGTTTATAACCGCACACTGTGAGTGTGATTTGGATTAGTGTCTACACACTCACACACACACACACACACAGAACCATGTCTGTCTGATCTGCTATGTATCCCAGGCCCAGGAGGACCTCGCACACAGGAGAAGGATGAAGGGGGAGCCACGGAGAATGCCCGGCTGAGGGGCAGGGGACGCCGGCAGAGGCACAGACCCCGGAGAGGACGCAGGGGGAGGGCAGCGCCGCCGGCCGCTCACCGGAGCAGTTGAAGCCCTGCAGGAAGCTGTCCAGCAGGCGGCGGGTGGTGTGCTGGAAGACGTCCTGCTGGCCGGCCGCCTCGCCGAGGACCCGGTCAAAGACGAACGTCAGGTCCTTGCCCTTCTTCCTGGGGCCCTCGTGGGCGCCGCCCCACTTCAGGCCCACGAGGCCCCCGTCGGGCTCTTCGGGGTCAAACACCAGCACCCGCTCGTCCACCACCTGGATCACGGGCCTCCGCTGGCTCTCGAGCTCCCGTGGGGTCGGGGGTCGAACCCGAACCACAACCTGCACCGCGCTGTCCTCCACGGCCATCACCATGGCAACACCTGGGCAGAGACACCGTGGGTCTGAGGACCGACCCGACGCCAGAGGAGATGACCAGGAAGGGAGGCGTCTAGCGTTCCAGGCCTCCTTCTGCCCCCACCCTGACAGCTGGTCTCTGCTTTATACCTCAGCAGAGTAAGAATATTGGTGCCAGCATCAATTATCATTATTTTTAAAAATATATTTTATTGATTTTTTTTTTTTTTTTTTTTTTTTACAGAGAGGAAGGGAGAGAGATAGAGTTAGAAACATCGACGAGAGAGAAACATCGATCAGCTGCCTCCTGCACACTCCCTACTGGGGATGTGCCCACAACCAAGGTGCAGGCCCTTGACCGGAATTGAACCTGGGACACCAGTCCGCAGGCCGACGCTCTAGCCACTGAGCCAAACCGGTTTCGGCAGCACCAATTATTAATAAATAGCTCTTTCCCACTTGAAATGCCATGTGTATCCAGGTGACTGTGTTTTTTTCAGAGGCCCATGGCTGGGCTTTCTGTGATGTTCCACAATCTGTCTGTTCCTGTGCTAGCACCACGCCGTTCCCATCCCATGCTTTTACAGTATGCTTTTCGCCTAGTAAGGCAAGACCGCCCTCCCCCTCCACTAGCCTTTCTTTTTCGTGATGTTCTTGGCTATAGTCAGACACTTATTGTTCTATTTGACTATAGAAAATGTTATCCATTCCATCCCCAACCCAGAACACATCCCATTCCTCCCCCCACAACAACAAAACACCTTATTGGAATTAAAAACAGAATGGTACTACATTTACATATTCATTTTATATTAAACCTTTTCACGCAAAAACATGGCTCTTGCCTTTCTATTTGTTCAGATATTTTTTTATGTCCCTCAATAAGATTTTATAGTTTTCTTTCTCTTCAGATAGCTCTGTAATTGCCCTTTTAATGTAATTCCCGAGAACTTTATGGACTTAATCACTCTTATGAATGGAACAGCTTCCCCCTATGTCTGTTTCCAGGTGGCAATTGCTAGTATGGGGAAACACGAATTGATTTTTATACATCTGCCTTATAGCCACCACCCTCAAACTCTTATTAATTCCAATTGTGTGTGTGTTTTTAAATTAGGGTTTATTGGGTTTTTCAGGGTATGCAATTATACATCAGAAAGGAAATTTTTTTAACCTTTTTTCTCTATATTTATAGCAAATATTTTATTTCCTGTCTACTGCAATCCTTAGAAACTTCCACAACAATGTTGAATAATAATGATGACAATGAGCATCTCTGTCTTGTTTTTTATTTTAAAGGAAATGGCTTTGGTGCTTCACTACTCAGAAATTATTTTTGGATATGTAGCCATTATCATAGAAGTAATTTTTTCTATTCTAACTTTACTTAGAGTGGTTATTAGAAAGGTCTAAAATTTTACCCAATGCTCTTTCAGCATCTCCTAATCTGTCTCTTCTCCTTTATTTTGTTGAGGTAGTAAATTGCTTGATAGTATTCCTGGTATCAAACCAACCATGCATTCTTAGAAAAACCCTACCCTGACCACGCTGAAGCTTTACATTTTTAAATCATCTAATGTGTCAAATTTTCTTTTATGATTTTTATCATATTTAACAAGACATTACTTCCCCATGGTAATAAATACTTCTATTATATTTCCATCTAATACATTTTATTTTTAAAATTTAGGTATTTATAAAGTTGGATTTATTTCTTTGTGAATGGGTATGTGGTTTCTAGATTTCTTTCCAAATGGTAAGCAATCGTCTCAAGATCATTTATTAAAAACTGTATATATATATTTTTTTTTAAGAGAGCAGGGAGAGAAGGGAGAGGAAGAGGGGAAGAGATATATATATATATATATATATATATATATATATATATATATATAGAGAGAGAGAGAGAGAGAGAGAGAGAGAGAGAGAGAGAGAGAAGAGAGACATCAACCTGCCATTCCACTAATTTATACATTCATTGGTTGATTCTTATATGTGCCCTGACCAGAAATTGAACTCGCAACTTTGGTGTATCATGACAATTCTCTAACCAACTGAGCTACCCTGTCAGGGCTAAATAGTGCATTCTTTCTCTACCAATTTCAAGTGCCACATTTAACATAACTAAGTTCTCCTACGAACGTGAACTTGTTTGTGGACTCTCCACCCTGTTCTGCTGATGCGTCTGTTCCTTTCCCAGTAACTCACTGTTGTAATTACTGTGGCTCTATAATACCTCACCTCATTGTTCTTTTTCTTGGCTATTCTTAAGCATCTTGTCTGCCATATAATTTTAGAATCAGCTTATAGAATTCTACAAAAAATCCTGCTAAGACTTTAATTGGAGTACTTTGAATTTATAGGTTAATATGAAGAGAATTGGCATCTTCATAATATTAAGTCTTCCCATCTAGGAACATAGTATCTCTTTTCATTATTCACAACTTTATAATCCTCAGTAAAATTTTATAGTTTTCTTCATTTGAGTTTTGTGTATTTCTTGACAGGCTTATTACCAGTTATTGTATAGTCTTTATTATATTGTGAATAGGCTCTTTTAAAAATTGCATTTTCTAATTCGTTTTGCCAGAACATAGGAAAGCAACCAATTTCAGTATGCAGATCTTGTATCTGGCCACAGTACTGAACTCCCTTATTAGTTCTAATAGACTGTCATTGATTCTCTTAGGTTTTTCAATTAAATGATGGTATAGTTTGCAAATAATGACAGTGATTTTCTATTTTTAGCTCTTCTAAATTTAGTTCCCCACCCTTCACTGTCCATGAGGAATGGGTGTTAAGTTTTGTCAGATGCTTTTTTGGCACTAGCTGAGACGATCACAGTGTTTCTCCTTCAATTTGTTAATGTAGAGGGTGGCGTGAACAGATTTCCTAATGTTGACCTGGCAATAATTCCAAACACTTATTTGCTTATTCCCTCTCGCCTTCCCCTCGAATCTCTCTCCTTGTTTTTCTCATTTCTCCTTCAAGCCAGCCTACCAAGGGTAGGGATGGAATTTTTGCAATGCAGGAGTCACAGATTTCCTGGAAAAGTTCAACCCAACTCTAGGGGTATGTTAACAGGAGTAACATACTGGGGAATAGGAACAAGCGAGTGCTTTTCCAGGTCCCACTGACAGGACCAAGGTCATTCAGGAAAGAAATCTGGAATTTCTACCCAATACTACAGCAAAGAACTCGTGTGTGTGTGTGTGTGTGTGTGTGTGTGTGTGTGTGGCGGGGGGGGGGGGGGGGAAGATGAGGCAGAATTGAGCTGATTTGAAACTCCTGTCCCCCTCAAAGGGTGGGGAACTAAATATAGAAGAGCTAAAAACAGAAAATCACTGTCATTATTTGCACACTATATAAAATATATATATATGATATATACAGAGGAAGGGAGAGGGATAGAGAGTTAGAAACATCAATGAGAGAGAAACATCGATCAGCTGCCTCCTGTACCCTCCCCACTGGGGATGTGCCTGCAACCAAGGTACATGCCCTTGACCAGAATCGAACCTGGGACCCTTGAGTCCAAAGGCTGTCACTCTATCCACTGAGCAAAACCGGTCAGGGCCCCCTCCAATCTTCTTAATTTCTCCCTATACAAAATAAGATATCAGCTAATATTTTATATATATATAATTAGCTGATATCTTATTTTGTATATATATATTTTCATATACATATATGAAGGGAGGAGATAGGAACACCAATGAGAATCATTGATTGGCTGCCTTCTGCACAGCCCCTACTAGGGATTGAGCCTGGAACCCCTACAAGTGCCCTGACCAGGAATTGAACTGTGACCTCCTGGGTTTATGGGTCAACGTTCAACCACTGACCCACACCGGCCTGGTCAATAATAATCTTTTTATTATTATACATGTGTATAATTTTTTTCTTGTTCCAGCGATTGGACTGCAACCGCCTACCCACCAGATGAGGGACTGTTTAAGCAACTTAGGGGTAGAATCTCCTTTCATCTCCATATCAATCCCACAAAACGGATACTATTTCTTTTCGCTCCCCTCCCCCCGTCCCCGATACTATCCTTACACTCATTTTTCCAGGAGCAAATTGAGACTGAGGGGGTTAAGCAACTTGCCCAAGATCCCAATCTAGTAAGGAAGCCTTGACGGCAGAGTCTGCAAACAGCCTTGTAATGAATGCTACTATATATTATGCTCTCCTGATCACATTGCTGTAATAGTCCCTTATGTTTAGTAATAATTACAGTCTCTTTTCTGTAACTAGCATAATGTATTATGCAAACACTCGCAGCTCCATGGACTGCCCCTAATTTTCAACACTCAGAGAGAATGCCCATCTCCCGTCCTTGCCTCTCCATCCCCATAATCACCCTTCACCCAGGGAAGAGCAGGCAGCGGGTGCTTGGCCCCGAAGTCTGGGTCTGCATTGGCTGCCTTAATGGCAGTCCCAGCTCCCCACAGGGAGGGTTTCAGCTGAGCAGGAGCGACAGAGCAGCCTAACATTCTAAGCAGGAAATTAAAAAGGGCACTGGCAGCCGAGTGCGTGTAACCTTTACAGTTCTCTCCTCTCCGCTTCCTGAGGGCCAGTGAGGCAGGCTGTTTGCCTAATGAGATGTTTTCCTTCTTTCTGAGACAGCGCTGGGGGCACGGGCCGGGGGTCGGGGTGACACTGGGCATGGCGGCAGCGAGGACACCTGGGTCCCCGATCCTGTGCTCTGCATCCGACCGGAGGGAGGTCTATCCACCAGCCACAGCACATCCCTGCTCCCCCGCTCGGAGAGCCAGAGAGAACAGCCACAGATCTGCTCCCGCCCCAGGGGGATGGGGAGATTAATGAGAGAACGTTTGTCAAGTTTGCTTTGATCCTCAGTTGGAAAGAGCATTTCAGCCCAAAGTACGAGGGAGATGATTCTTTAATAAGATCTTCAGGGTTCTGAGCCAGCCACAGTCACGTCCTGCTCTAACCCAGGGCAGCTCATTAAAACCCAGAGGCTAGTTCACTGCCGAGCTGGGAACGGGAAGCCAAGATTCAGTTGTTGTCAGGATAGCTTCCTCGGCCGCCCCCTCCCTTCCCCGCTTCCGCTCAAAGGGACAAATCCAACTCCTCAGAAGCCCCTGGAGGACTGAGGGGATCCGCCTGCAGACACTGAGAGCTGGGAAGGCAGGCGGTGTCTAGTCCTTGGATGTTGTGTTTTTATAGGGATTGCTGTATAATCTTACACACACACCCCCGCTCCCCCACTAAAAAAATAAAAACTACCCCACTACCCAAAATGCTGTAACCCCCCTTCATTGCTCCTTCACAACTCGCACACACTTGGGATTCTTGTCCTAAGCTCCAAAAGAGAAGAACCCCCTTCTGATACGTCTGTGCACCCCAGATGCCTAGGCACCAGACCCCGCCTGCAGTGAAGGCTGTGTAACACCTACCCTCTGGGCGATTAAAGGTCAGAGGAGGACACAATCTGAATCCAAAAGTCTAAAAGTAATTACTGTTATCGCTAACACTTACTGAGGGCTTACTATGTATCGGGCCCTATGCTAAATGCCTTACAAAGGCTGTCATTTAACTTTCACAACACTCGCTTTCCGTAGTTACACCCCAACTCTACAAAGGAAATGTAGGAATCTGTCACAGGGATGATAAATAGCAAGGTCAGAACCTGACCTTGTTCAGACTGGCAGCAGAGGCAATCGATACTCTGTACCAGACCATTCTGCCCTGGAGCTGTGCTTTTGTGGCCTCTGCCTCCCCTCACCCTGGCACCTACAGGGCAACGTCCAAAGACCACTGGTTCTTTCTATGGCGGGCTGTGAAGAGAAGAGCTATGTTCGTCTGTGTATGTGTGTGTGTATGTGTGTGTGTATATGTGTGTGTGTGTGTAATAAGCAATCATAAGGCATAACTGATTTTATTTTGCTTGTTCCTAATTTTATTTTTATTTATTTCTCTTGTCTTATAGTTATGGCTAGGATCTCTGCTACACTAGTGAATAGAGGCAACAAGAGTGAACAATCTTGTCTCTTTGCTGATTTTATAAGGAATGCTCCTATTGTTCCACTTGTTGGTTTAAGAAAATTTACCTCTATTTCTAGCTTATCAAATTAAAAAGAAAATCATGAATGGGTGTTGGATTTTATTGAATTCTATTTCTGTGCCTAATAAAATGTGTTTTCTCCTTTAATCTATAGTTACGTAAATTGTATTAATAGATTTTGTAATGTGAAACCATTCTCATATTCCTGGGATAAACCCAATTTGGTCATAATGTATTTTTAATATACATTGCTGGCTTCTGATTGTTAATATTTAAGACTTTTTTACAACTACATTTATAAAAGAGATTGGCTTATCATTTTCTTTGTCTCATTTTTAGTATCACAAAATAGATGAAATGTTTTCTTGGTTTTTATTTTTTTGGGGGGGTAGTTTGTGTAAGATTAGAATAATTTCTTCTACTTGCTTGTAAATTTGTGGTTGAGTTTGGTAGGTTGGTTTTTTGTTTGTTTTCTGTTAATTCTAACCCAAGGATTTTTTTTTTTCATTGATTTTTAGAGAGCATGGGAAGGGAGAAGAGGAGAGAGAAAGAAGAGAGATGTGAGAGAGACACATGATTTGGCTGCCTCCCACACGTACCCTGACTGGGGCAGGGAATTGAACCTACAACCCTTGACCAGAATCAAACCTAAAACCCTTTAGTGCAAAGGCAATGCTCTAACCACTGAGCAAAACAGGCCAGGGTGGTGGGGTTTGTTGTTATTGATTTCCGAGAGGAAGAGAGAGGGAGAAAGAGATAGAAATATCAATTATTAGAGAGCATCACCAATCAGCTACCTCTTGCACACCCCATACTGGGGATGGAGCCCATAACCTGGGTATGTACTCTGACCGGGAACTGAACTGTGATCTGGTTCATAGGACACTCAACCACCGAGCCACATGGGCTGGCTGTTGTCTTTGATGGGTGTGTTAGTACATTTTAAACTAATTTAATTTCCTCAATGGCCCCAAGTTTGTTCAACATTTTCAGAGCTTATTAAATCAATTTTGGTAAGTCCCCCCCCACCCCCCCCCAGGAAACCATCCAAAAGCATTGTTAGAAAGGGAATTCCATTAAACTTGTTCTCTCTTTCTCTTTTAATTTCTCAGTAACTGAAGTTATGTCTTTATTTTCATGCTTAAGAACATTTTTCTGTTTCTTTATTGCTAGACGTTTGGCTTTTTTTATTAGTCTGTTTAAAGTTGCAGATTTTGGCTAAGTTAAACCTCTCTATTATGTAATAAAATTCTACTTCATTAATTTCTGCTCTTAACTCCTTTTTATCTCCTACACATTATATTGTTCTATCTTATTAAAGTTGTGTATGTGCCTCACTAACTTACAGCTTTTTTTTTTTTAACTTTCAGCTTTTAAGAAAAGTTGAAATGTAAACACTTAAGACTATAAATTACCTTAGAAACATTGCTTTAACTGTATCCCACATGTTTTCTAAATAGTATTTTCACGGTTCCATACTGATTATCTTTTAGTTACAATTATGATATCCCATTTTACTGAGTTAAGTGGGTTCTTAAAAAAAGATCTAAAATGTGGGTTTAATTTCTCTTTACTTTGTCTTTTTAACTAATTGCTTGTGGAAAGAAAATATGACTTGAACTCTGATATTGTTTAGACTTGTTTTGTAGCCAGAGGCAATTTTTATGAATACCTTTAAATATGCCACTTGTATACTCTTTTTGAAAAAAAGTATAAATGGAGCTGGGTTGGATAATATAAAGACCAACAAATTGAGATACCTTAATTCAATAATGAAATAGGCAGAGAAGGACTGGATACATTGGTAGCTGAAGCATGGGATGCGGTGAGGCAGAGAAAGTAGAACTGGGACAAGACTGGAGAAAACAGTGTAACACGGAGGAGGAGGAGCTCATTCAGAAAAACACTGTAGACTGTCTCCTCTGAGCTAGGCTCACCGTCTCTGTGTTTCCCAATCTGTAAAACGTAAATATTAGCATCTCTCCAATGGCGCAGTTGTGAGAATTAACTAAGTTCATGGTAAGTGCTAAAAACAAACAAACGTTAGCCATTATTATCAGGATTAACATGACAAACATCATTTTCCCACGATGCGGAAAGTACTGTCTTGGGTAAAAGCCCCCGTTTCCCGTGGCAGAGACCAGGCTTTATCTTTTCCAAGTTACTTCACTACCTTCAAGGGTCATCGCTAAGGGAAGGCATCCTAGGAGCAGTAGCAGAAAGCACGGTCTTCTACCATACGGATGCTCTTTCATACTTTCCTTCCTTCCTTCCAACTTTACCTCTAGAACTAAGGAACTCATTAGCTAAGTCACGGCCACGGGCAAAGCTCTGCACTCAGTCCTCCCGCAGAGATGAGTGCGGAGGGTGTTAGCTACTCCACACAGGTGCGCAGGGGGTCCCAGGCCTCCAGATCTAGGGTCCAGGAAGACCCGGTTCTTTCTCACACCCGAGCAGGAGGGCCTTTCCCAGAGAGAGCGGATGCCCAGAGGGCCGGGCCCAGTGCAGATGTGCGGACACATCGAGGTCCCGCACACGGGTGTGGAGGACGAGCCCGATCTCCGGCGCAGATGTCGAAGGAGGCGCCATGCTCCCTGCACCGACCCCGCCCTGTTCCCTGGAGACGCACAGACCGGCTGGGTCTCCGCGCCGCGCCTCGGTGTCTGGCTCTAAAGAGGGCGGGCTGGGGCTTACCCTTCGCCGGTTCCCCGCCGCCGGTGTTGCCGCTCGCTGCCGGGTCCCTCGGCCGCAAACCGGAGGCCGGGGCCGCCGGACAATGGGCCCCACAGGCTCCCCTCTTCCCCCCCAAGAAAACCACGGCCCGCCCGCGCCGCGCTTTCAAATCTGCCGGGTCGGTTCATCCGCGCTTCCCATTGGTCAACGCCCGGCTCGCTGATTGGCTGTTTCCTAAGTAACCAAGTACCGGCCCCAACAGTGCGCCTGCGCACTTCCCGTAACCGCTGGCTGGCTGGCTGGCTGGCGGCAGCCTCCGAGGCTGGACGGGTTACACCGCCCGGCCCGGCCGGCCGGCCGGAATCCGCACGGAGCTGAGATCCGGGGTTTGGGGGGAAATGGGAGGCACCGCCCGTCTCTCTCGTCCCTGGGACTGGGTTCATCACCAACTGCGGCAACGAGACATCAAACCCGTTTTCAAATCTGCTTTTTCCATGGGCATCGCTTATCCCAGCCACTGTGCGGGGTTTCTTCCCGCCCCTCCACCACCCCCAGAATGAGTTTCGAGAGCAGCCTCGATGAGGAAAAGCCGGCGGAGGCAGAGGATGACGATTCCACCCGCTGGGCTCTGACAGTGTTAGGAGTGTCACGGACTGATGGTTGAATGAGGGTTGACCCCCTTAGAGCATCGCTGGGTAGCCCCGTCTCCGTCCTCCACAGCCACTTGCTGCTTGGATTCTGGTGGGCCAACCTCATGCTGATACCCATTACCCGAGGTTGTGGGAGTCAGAGAGAGTTTGCCTGATTCCAACCGCTAGTGAAGGAGAGTCAGTTTACTAACCTATAAAATGGGGCAAATACCGTGCGGTTCCTACTGACCTAGAAGACCATGGATGAGACAGCCCTCAACCCCGCTGCCTATGTACAGAGACAGCTTTCTATGACTCTGGTTAGGAGTGAAGTGGGTGATGGCTGCCGGCACCTGTTGCTCACTACTTTCATGAAATTGACCTGAGGCATGGCATGCAAGAAAACAAGAAGCAAAATTCCCTCAGTGGACCTGCCATCAAGATAATAGAGTCACAGCCCAGCCGGTTTGGCTCAGTGGATAGAGCATCAGCCTGGGCACTGAAGGGTCCCAGGTTGGATTCCCATCAAGGGCGTGTGCCTGGGTTGCAGGCTTGTTCCTGGCCCTGACGCACGCATGTGGGAGACAACCAACCAATGTGTCCCTCACACCTACGTTTCTCTCTTTGTTTCTCCCCTTCCCACTCTCTCTAAAAATTAATTTAAAAAAATATTCCTGCCGAAACTAGTTTGGCTCAATGGATAGAGCGTCGGCCTAAGGACTGAAAGGTCCCAGGTTCGATTCCGGTCAAAGGCATGTACCTTGATTGCGGGCAAATCCCCAGTAGGGGGTGTGCAAAAGGCAGCTGATCGATGATTCTCTCTCATCGATGTTTCTAACTCTCTATCCCTCTCTCTTCCTCTCTGTAGAAAATCAATAAAATATATTTAAAAATATATATTCCTGGATGAGGATTAACCAAAATAAATGAATGAATGAATGAATAAATAAATAAATAAATAGTAGAGTCACAGCCCGGCCCACAAAACTCAGATTGTCCAGATATGTCAAGATTATGAGTTTCATCCCCAGTCCCTCACCCACCCCCCTTCCTCTCTTTCTCTAAAATCAATAAAAAAATTTTAAAAGATACTAGAATCACTATTTACTAGTATACTTGGTTGATTTGGCCCAAACTCTTCATTAACCTACCTAGACCTCAATTGCCCTCTCTGTATAATGGGATAGCACTATAGGTTTGATGAGAATAAAATGAGAAAACTATGCAAAGTTATTGTAAAGCTACAAGAAAACCAAGGTGTTCTTGCCATCTCTACTACCCAAGAGAAATGAAACTGTTAAAGAATGGCTTCCAGAGGTTTGGGACTGGAGGAGGGCTTGTGGGATTGTGGCTGGGGTTTTTAGGAGCCTCCTGGTCCAATTCTGATTTGAATAATTAGCTGGGAAAGGTGAGGTGCGTCAGGGTGAGGCAAGGAGCCGAGACTGGTTCTGCTCTCAGAAGGACATGGCATGCAAGTTGAGGTCTGAAGGAGGCGTAGAGCTTGTTTGGCAAAGGGAGCTGTTCCTTGGCTCTCAGAAGTCATGGGGAAAGAATTTTTCAGGTGAGTCACCTGAGCCCATGATGCCGAGAGGCCTTGGTAGGGCCTGGCCAAGCCTACGTGAGTAGACACAAATGGGAAAACCTTGGGCTGATCAGAGGAGACTGATCTGGCACTGGCCCCAGAAGAATTTCAAGACCTAAAACACAGACGTGAGGACCAGGTGCAGAATTTTTGCCTCTTACGGTGGCCAAAGGGTTTCTGGGCTGATATGAGTGGGGGTGTGAAAAGCAGCAGGCTCGCCGAAAACAGTTTGGCTCAGTGGTAGAGCGTCGGTCTGCAGACTGAAGGGTCCCGGGTTCAATTCCGGTCAAGGGCATGTACATCGGTTGCGGGCACATCCCCGGTAGAGGGTGTGTAGGAGGCAGCTGGTCGATGATTCTCTCCCATCGACGTTTCTAGCTCTCTATCTCTCTCCCTTCCTCTCTGTAAAAAGAGTCAATAAAATATATATTAAAAGAAAAAAGAAAAAAAAGAAAAGCAACAGGCTCTATGCTCTTGTGAGCTGTGTGGATAGAATCACTGTTTGCAACAGGCAAGACCACTAACCCCACGAGCTCAAAGGAGACAAAGTGGAGGCACATCCTTTTACCCACACCCTTACCACTCACACACTTTGCACCTAGGCATGGCATTAGTTGGTATAGATATAGAAGAATTTTAAAAGGTCCTTGAGCCAAATCCAAGACATCATTCTTGCCATCCTTAAACGTGAGGCAGCGTTTACCTTTAAGATCCGGCCTAGCACCGAGGCCAAGCTCTATGAAGACAAAAACGTGTTCACTCAGTTTGTCAACAAGGAGGTCACAGGTGTCCTTGGCAGAGCAGTTTCAGAGGAGTGGCCGTAGCCAGAGGGCAGCAGGAAGTGAGAAAATAGAAACAACTCTTTTAAGTCACCTGGTTGTCACAGAGAGCAGAGAAAGGAGGTAGGAGCTGGAAGGGAATGTGAGCTTAAGGGAGGATTTTTGTTGTTGTTGTTGTTAATTCTCGCCTGAGGATATTTTTCCCATTGATTTTATTATTATTTTTTTATTTTTTTTAGTGAGAGTGGAAGGGAGGGAGAGAGGCAGAGAGAAACTTCAATGTGAGAGAGGCACCTTGATTGGCTGCACCTCGAGCAGGGCCAGGGAACCGAGCTTGCAACTGAGGTATGTGCCCTTGACTGAAACTGAACCCTGGACCCTTCAGTTTGCAATCCAAAGCTCTACCCACTGAGCAAAACCGTCTAGAGCTCAAGGGAGGATTTTTAAGAACAGGAGAGATTTAAACACTGATGGGAAGGAGCTGACACGGAGCAAGCAGCTGACGATGAATAGAGAGGTGAAATTAACAATTAAATGAAGCCCCCCAAGAAGATGAGAGAGAGGTCAACCATCTCATTGCCCAGCTGGGTTTACCACAATGTGGGACTTGCCATTTCAAAACCTGGACAGCCCTGAGCAAACAAGGATAGATTGGCCATACTGGTGAGAGAGCGTGGACGCAGAGCACAGTGGCAGGCTGGGCCCTGGAAGGGGGCACAGGTCCTCCATGGAGGCAGGAAGAAGGAGGAGGAGAGGAGGGGCAGAGACGCAGGGAAGTTTGTGGGTTTTATGGTAGAAGCGGATGGAGTTTCCTTGGCGCTTCTGACGTCTCTGAGAGGTAGGAGATATGATCACCCATTGGACAGCGAACTTCACGCTCCCTCTGCTGCCTTTGCTGCTGGGCTGAAGCAGAATAGGTACTCAATAAAATTGGCCGAAGGAATCAATAAATGAGTAAGACTGGGGGTAGGTGTTGCAGGTTGGGTACTCTTAGGAGCAGACTAAGAGAGAGAGAGAGAGAGGGAGAGAGAGAGAGAGAGAGAGAGAGAGAGAGAGAGAGAGAGAGATCGATCAGTGGGCAGGAAGTTCATTGGAGAGTACTCTCAGAATGAACACCTGTGGAGAAGGACAGGAAGCAGGATTAGGCATAGCAGGAAGCTGGGCACTCTGACCCTAGGAAGATTCCTCCTCGTTGTCCCGAGTTTAAACCTGCATGTTGATCAGTCATTGGGAACAAGCTGCCTGAGGAAGAGGTAGGTCGTTGAGCAAGGCAGAGACAGTCCCTGGATGGGGCCGGTAGCCAAGAGCCACCTGCTGGCGGCACTGCCAGCCGCTGGGAGAATAGCTCCTCCGTCCTGGAAGGGACCTGGGCAGTGCCTCACAGCATCCACCTCAGGCCGCGGGAGTTTATGGGGAGGGAGAGAAGTTTGCAGTAGCTGTTGTTCTGGTGGCAGAGTGGTTAGTGGCAGGCACGTGTTAGGTACTGAGTAAGCTGTTGTCATACTTAGAGGAAGCTCTCAGGATGGCCTCGGAGACAGGTAGGTAGATGACTGCTGCGGGAGTCCAGGAAGGCTTCTCGGAAGAGCAGACAAGGGACCCCAGCTTGCATATGAGCAGGTGTTCTGCAGGCAAGGGCCTAGCAGATCCACCCCTGGCTCTGGGCAGGCAGGGAGAGGTTTGTAACTCTCCTGGCCTAGGCAGCTGTCCCAGTCCAAGGAACGAAGGGCCTGTGGTGTGGGGCCTGGGGAGAAACCCTTGAATTGGCTCTTCACCATCTGGGAAAAGTCAGGCGCCCCACCCCTGCACCAGCTGTCCAGGCAGCAGACATTGTAGGAAGGGGTATGTCTGGCGATTGAGGGGAGGAAAGCTGCTCAGGCTGGGAAGTAGTGAGATTCCGCCCTTCCCCTACTCTAGGGAATGGCTAGTCAAGAGGGCTGTTCCCAGAAAGAGTAAGCCACGTGATCTTGGGTAACTTAATTCACCTCCCTGTATCTCAGTTTTCTCATCCAAAACATGGGTGTGACAACAGTAACTACCTGTGGGATCACTGTGAGGCTTAAGTGGAATAGTGCACAGTACAAAAGCTCCTGTGATAACTTAGCTGCTGATACAGAGATGAGCGTGCATGTGTTTCCTCCGGCTCCATATTCCCCAAGCCCCTGGACAAGAGAAGAGAAAACCCTCAGCTGCAGGGTTCTACCACCCACCACGTCCCCAACGGGATCTTTCAATGACAACATGGGGGTGGGGTTTGAGGGGGTTCCTGTTTTGGATGGATGGATGCTTGTTGTCAAACCTTTCCAAACATTATAGAAGTAAAATAATAATAACAATAATATTTAATAATAATAATAATAATAATAAGCCTCAAAAATATAATATATATATAGCCGAAACCGGTTTGGCTCAGTGGAAAGAGCGTCGACCTGCGGACAGGAAGGTCCCAGGTTCGATTCCGGTCAAGAGCATGTACCTTGGTTGCGGGCACATACCCAGTGGGGGGTGTGCAAGAGGCAGCTGATTGGTGATTCTCTCTCATCGATGTTTCTAACTCTCTATCACTCTCTCTTCCTCTCTGTGAAAAATCAATTAGAAAAATTGGAAAAAAAAATATATATAAGCCACTTAGTCCAACTCCCTGAGAAATAACCCGTCCTAACAGTTTGGGAAGTCCCCCCTGCCCCTCTAATAGAAGGTCCTGGATGTATCTGTGTGATCCTGTGAGTGTCTTGAAGCTCTGGGTGGGCTCTCATCCATCTCTGGCATGTTGGATGTGATCAGTAACACTGAAATGAAATAGAGCGAGTAGAAATAGGAACTGATGGCTAGGCCGGCCTCAGGGGTATCCCTGTGCTCTCACTCCAAATTGGAGGCCGCAGAGCAGAAGGGTGAGGGAATCCACATTGGAGACCAGACTTGGGACACTCTGTTCACAATACTTAGCTCCACACCCTGGGTACCCCAAACCCACCCCTCTCCTAGTGCCCCACATTCACTTTGGAGTCACCGGGGAAGAACAACCCAATGTCTGCATCTTCTTTGATGATTATTATCGCCATCCCAGGCATGGAGGGCAGCCAAAGAATTTTAAGTCATGGTTCTCCGGAGACTTGGGCTGTAATAATAAAAATGCATTTGCATTTTGCTTCATAACTCACAAGCAGGTTCTCACCCGTGCACCACAACAGCCTTCACATGAATATGTTTTTATTACCTAGCCCTATTTTATATTATAGATGGAGACACTGAGGCTCAGAGAAGGAAAGTATCTTTCTCTGAAACACTGAGCAAGGCCAGGACCCGAGGCCAGTGCTCCTGTCTCTATTTGCTGCATGTCTAGTGGGTCCTGCTGTCTCTGGTTCTAGCTACCCTGAACCGACAGGAGCAAATGTGACTTCCTCTCTGGGCCTCAGTTTTTCCAGCTGTGCAATGGGGGTTATCCATTCTATGGCTCTCGTTCTCAATCTTGGTATGATGGGGCTAACGGGTAGCATGTAGACAGTATGGGGGCGGGTAGCCCCCTGGCCCTTTTTCCTCCAGCCCCCAGCTGCTCCTCTCTGTAGCCCCTCCCAGTTCCAAGCATGTGTGGACTTCTCACTTCCACTTTATTATCACCTCATTTGTAGGATTTGAAGATTTGTTACCTGGAAGGGAGTGAAGAGCTCACATTTCCACTTCCGCTTTTCAAACACACCTTCATTGCTTGTGAAAATAACCTTGTGAACAGCATCTAACCTGCTCTGGCTTGTGGGGGCACCCAGATAAATACATGCATAAGGAGCCAGGGCAGGAAACAGCACTGGCAGCTGGGAGAATGCGGCCTCTGGACCCCTCTGACTTCCCCTCAGCCCTTGGCGGTCCTGGAGCAGCTGTCAGTCAAGGACATGGGTGAGGCCCCGAGTCATCTTGAGCAATTGGCTGCCTTCTCTGGGTCTTTGCCACCTGCCTCCTCTTCCGGTGCTCAGAGATCCTCCTAGAAACAGCTCCCCTGCCCCCGGACACGTGTCCGGGATTGATCTCCGGGCAGCTCCCCCTCCGAGCAGTAAATGAAATATTGGTTACCAGGAGTGAGGCAGGAGGCAATTAACCCCCAGACCTCGCCGAGGTAGATGTGTTTGTAGCGAGCTGAAGAGGGGAGAGCGGAGCACACCTGCCCCGCTTTCCTGCAAAGTCATCCAATTAGGGCAGTCAGTCCCCATCGGTGGGCTCCCACACCCCTCGGGTCTCCGGGACCACAGAAACCAAGGCAGCACCAGCCCCAGGGCTGGCAGCTGCCTGAGCGCAGGATGGCCTAGCACTCTGCGTGGGTGAGTTCCAGGGGCACCCCCATCCTCACACACCCTGGGAGAGACAGTATCCATTAATTAACCACACATCTTCCTAAAATGGAGGCAATCTGGGGAGCTTCTTCCTTCCTTCCTCCATTCTGCCTGGCCAACCCTCCTTTCTGCCATCCAGGTAGCCCTGTGCTCTAGAATGTTCCTGTGCCAGCAAAGCCCCAGACTGAGGAGCAGGGGAGACACAGGCCCTGCTTTCAGGGAACTTCCTGTCTGAGAGGGAGACACAGCTCCTGCCCTCAGAGAGCCCCCAGTTGGACTAGGAGACAGGTGCTGTCCTTTGAGGACCCTGGAGCCCCAGAGTCTGGTCTCAGAAAGCCCTAGTTTAACAGAAAAAGTACAATGTCTACCCCCAGAGCCACTGAAACAGGAACCACAGTCTCTGCATTCAGGAAGGCCCCAACCCCCTAGTCTCAGTGGAGATAGTCACCTTGCCCTCAACTCAGTCAAAACACCGTCCTCAAGGATCCCCAGTCTGATGGAGGAGACACAGGTCTTGCCTTCAGGTAGCTTCCCATGCTGATGGTGGAGACAGTCCTTGACCTTGGGCATCCCAAGTCTGCGGAGAAAAACCAGATTTGCCCTTGGAGAGCCCCTGTCTGATGGGGAGGACATCTCCCCAACAGGTCCCGCTGCAGCTGCGATGACACGCCAGTGACAAGCAGCTGACGGCTGGCACTGCCGGACCCTCCTGGTGCCCACAAAGAAAAGAGACAGCCCTTGGCTTCAGTCCAGGTCCAGCTGATCACAAACTTGCTGCATGACCATGGGTAAGTCACGAATCTTCTTCAGACTGTGATTTCCTCATCTGCAAATGGGAGACTTCAAGCTCACCTCTCAGAACGACATGAGGATCGTCCAGTTGCCGGAAAGGAAAGAAAGCTAGCCAGCCAGCCAGACACTCCCTGCAGAAATGATTAGCATGCTTTTTATGGTGGCAGAGGTCCTAGGCCAGTGCCTGGGGTCTCTGGGGAGGAGTGGGGTGCCCCCAGGTGTGGTGGGTGGCTAATTATGGGCCAACGTGGCCATTAAAAACATCACAGGGGGGCTGTGGACAGAACTGGGGGCTGGGTGGGGAGGAGTGCTGTCTAATCTAATCAGTCTTCCCAAGGAAACTCTCTTTCCAGCCAGATCTGCCAGGGGTTTTATTGGGTTTGTGGGACCTGCGGATTTCAATCTCCAGACCCCACAGGGAAGGAACAAGTATTAAGCTAATTTTATTAAATGGCCACAGCTGGGAAGCAGGGGCGTGAAGGGAGGATAAAGAAAGTCATTCAAGTCTGCCAGCTCTGACAAGGGTCTATACATGGGACCTGACTGGAAGGGGGCCCACCCCCTCCTTCCTGTCTCTCCAGCTGAGCCAGCCTGCGGGATGGGGGGTGGGAGAGGCCAGATGGGACCTTCCCCTCAATGTAGAGCCTTGGGATTCTCCAGAAAGCTTACACCACGGCTGCTGCCCAGGGCAAATGCTTGTAAATACACCACGCTTCTGCAGGGCAGGGGCAGCGGGAATGGGAGGGCTGAACATGATGGGGAGGGAGGCTGAGCTGCCTCAATGTCATCCTTCCTCAGTTTTGCTCTGGAGATCCCTGACCTCTGTGAAATATGGGATAACAGGTAAGAGCATTTGGTTCAGATGCTGGCATTTGCTTCTTCCTAGCTCTGCGACCTTAGCACATTAATTTAGCCTCTCTGAGCCTTAGTTTCCTCATCATTTCAGAAAAAATAACAATATCCATTAAAGGGCATGGGAGCATTTCCTGATCATCCACCCCACCCCCCTACACACACACCCATAAGATATTCATACAGTTCCTATATGGTATCTTATATAAAGTGGGTGCTCTCTAAATATTAGCTACTATTATTTAGGAATGCCCTGACTGTGTGATTGCCGTGATCCATTACAGGAAGTGAAGGAGGTAGTGACGGGGTGAAGGGACTTGGTGTGCTGTCTCCAAGGAGCAGGGCTTCTTAGCTACACGTAGGACCACAGAACGTAGTGACCTATCGCAATAAGCTAGTTAACCTCTCTGGAAAATTACATCTACTCTCCCAGCCTCCCAGGGCTCTTGGGAGACCGGAGTGACATACCTGGAAGCGTTTCTGCAAACTTTAAAGTGATGTATAAATAATAAAAACTGTTTCTCAATCAAGTGAGGGAGGTCACCTACATTTTCACAGATGAGAAAACTGAGGCCCAGAGGTGAAGTGCTCTGGCCAAGGTCAACCACGTTTTAGTGCGAAGGTGGTCACTAACCCAGAACTGAGTCAGAGAGAGTGACTTGCCCAGGATCCCCTGTGGTGGCGCTGGATGAGAACCTAGTTTCCAGGTTTTAACCTTGCTGTGCCTTTGGAATGCTGATGCCACTTTCAAGGATGGAAAAATGGAGCTTATCCACCATGGAGGATGGTGATATAACCGGTGGCTTCCCATGGCGGCTGCTCAGGCCCATTGCGGTGGGCACTGGCCCCTTGTCCCACCTCCTCTGACTCTGGCACCTGTCTCCCCCCAGATCCAGGGCCGCCTCCAGCAGACCCCTCCCCAGTCTGGAAGACAGGGTCCTAACCTCCTCCTGCAGCTCCTCCCCAGGGCACAGACGGAAACCCAGCGGGGTGGAAGTGCTTTTATTGTAGCTTTGGTCAGACAGGGAGCGGCGGGGGATAGGGCTTTAAGGGGTGCTGGGAAGCTATCCAGTCCCCATCCCACCCCTTCCCCAGGTGGCACCACCCTCGGAGCCAGAGCGGAGCAGGAGGGCAGCACATCTGAACTCAGGAAGCGACTCTGCGGGACCAGACTGGTCCCCAGGCTTGGGCGAGCTGGTGGGAAGGGTGGGCAATAAACAGTCCTATTGTACAAATATACAGAGCGGGCTGCAGCCAGGGTTGGGCAGCAAAGAGGAGAGTGGGGGACGGGTCATCCATCGCCCGGCAGGACAAGGAGGCCGGGGGGTAACCAGGGACGCGGGGAGCCTAATCAGAGTAGATGATGAAGCCGGAGAACGTGCTGTATTTGTTGCTGTTGCCGCCGTGCGCTTTGCCCCCGTCGAGTTTGATGAAGACCTCGTCTCCCGCGTCCAGATGCAGGATCACGCTGTTGCTGGCGTAGTCATAGTTCTGGTCTGCGTCCTGGGCAATGGCGCTGGCCCGCACCTGAGGGGGGTGGGAGAGTAGGGGTGTGTGCCAGAGGGGAGGAGGGAGAGAAGTGGGATCAAGGATGGGGGGGGACTGTCAGAGGTAAAACAGCCACATCCTACCCCCTTTTCCAATCGGACCGTGTGTTTTAGGGGATTACAGAGGAGCCCGGGATTTCCAGGGGCTAATCTGGGTCTGAACTGGGAGTCAAGGTGGAGTCTGCTTCCTTCACTTCTTTAGGGCTTACCATGTGGCCTGCGGAGGACCTCAGCCATGCCTCCTGGAGGGCCCGACCTGGAACCCCCTCTTGCAGAGAGGAATTCTCTGGATCTCCCCAAAGATAGAGGGCCCTTCTCCCTCATTAGTCCTTCACCTCTGCTTTAATTGTAATAAAGATCACCTTCCTTTTCAGCCACATCCACCTGCTCTCACGTTGGAAGATGGACACAGGGCACACGTTGGCCCCATACAAGCAACCACCCTAGAACCGGGACCTGCCTTTCGGACTCGTTGTCTGAAGCTCATTCTGGAGTCTGTCACACCGGAGCAGTGGGATGGAAGGTCTGGTCACTATTTCCCCTCCCGAGGCTCGGATCGGGCCTGCACACCTGCCTCCGAGGAGCTGTAGCTAGACCTGTGATTATCACCCCACTGGAAAAGGATTTCCTTCTTATTTTTTAATCCTCACCTGAGGATATGTACCCAGGGATATATTTTTATTGATTTTAGAGAGAGGCAGTGAGAGAGAGAGAGAGAGAGAGAGAGAGAAGTCAATGTGAGAGAAACATCGGTTGGTTGTCTCCCAAATCCACAACCTGGGCCAATGCCTTGGCCAGGAATGGAACCCATGGCCCTTTGGTGCACAAGGCAATGCTCCTACGAACTGAGCCACACCGGCCAGGGCTCAGAGAGGATTTCGGACTCCGTTTCACTCCATGGTGGGAGAAAGGAAGTAGGTGGAAAGAAGGGAATCCTTACACCACGCTGTGATCCTCAGTCCGATCCGATCTACTTGCTGGCTCTTGTTTTGATGGAGGAGGGGAGGGATGGTAGGACGATGAGGCAAGGGAGCACCAGCATTTGAGTCTGAAGCCTGCCACCATCGCTTTTGCAGGCTCCGACTGTGATCGTAAGACACTCAGGGCGGGAGGCGGTGGAAACACTCCCTCCAGACATACCTTTTCCACAGCTGAGGCCACAGAAGGCCTGAGCCACAGGACCTGGGGCCTCAGCAGGACGTCCTGGGTGACCCATGGGAAGAGAAGAACTATCTCCAAGGTTCTGGCATGTCCTGGGGGGAGGCTCACTGAGAGGGTCCACTCAGCCAGGCTCCTCAGCATCCCACTCCATCCTGCCCCTGTCCTGAGAGCAGCTCCCCCGTGGGCTGACAGTCCAGGCTGGACCAGCCCAAACTAGGGGAGGAGCCCATCCTTCGGGGGAGGGGCGGGTTCAGGACTTCGAGTCTGCTGTGCCAGAGCCGCTGACTCAGCAGCAATGCTGCAAGAGGGGGACCCATCACATTTGCACGCAGAATGCCCTTTAAAACCCAGATCCTGCCGAAACCGGTTTGGCTCAGTGGTAGAGCGTCGGTCTGCGGACTGAAAGGTCCCGGGTTCGATTCCGGTCAAGGGCATGTACACTGGTTGCGGGCACATCCCCGGTGGGGCATGTGCAAGAGGCAGCTGGTCGATGTTTCTCTCTCATCGACATTTCTAGCTCTCTATCTCTCTCCCTTCCTCTCTGTAAATCAATAAAATATATTTTTTAAAAAGCAAACCCAGATCCTTCCAGCATCTTCTCCCTGCTCAGCGGCTCAGCCTCTTCTCCAACCCGGGAAGGAACAGTTTGGGGATCTTGCTGGAAAAACTCACGGTCCACCTATAGGTGGGGGCCAGTGAAATATGGGGGAGACCTTGTTTGTCAAAAAGCTCAGTTTCTCTGTTTAGAAAACAGATGAGAAAATCCTGCCTCACCACTGCCACATTTATAAAAAAGCCTGATGATGGTAAAAAAAAAAAATGTTTTTTCTTTTAATTTTGTTGGGGCGTTGAGCTACTAGGGAAGAGCTTAGAGCAAGCAGCCAACTTCCGTATTGTTCCCTGGGCCCTAATCCTGGTAGTATTTATTGTTATGCATGCATTTCATTATCTTTGCTAATAAATTACGACTAATAACAATTATTTTTATTACCCAGATTAATTTGGCCTTAACTCATTAAAACAGTGTGCTTGTTAATAGCAAAACCCATTAGAGTATAGTCATCTGTCATCAGGAACCTCCTGATGATGCGACAGGCATCAGAACTGTTATGCTTATATTTATTATTTATTCATCACCATGATTGTTGCTGTGATTATCCTAATTATCCATGGACGCAGGGAGAATTTATGCCCTTCCATACCTAGACGGTGAGGGATCCCAGAACGGAACCCAGGGTCTTGAATCTCTGCCCAAGTGGAGGCATATAGCTCCTCCTGAGGGCCGGGAAAGTTTGGGGACTTGCGGTTGCCATGGAAGCAGCAAAGCACGTCTGTGACTTGTCAGGAGAGGGCGCTGTATAATCACCTCTTCAAGGGCTGCCAGGAAGGGAAACTGAGGCAGTGGCTTGACCAGGGGCCTGGAAGGGGTGGGGGGAGAGAACCCAGGAAACATGTCCTTGTCCCCAGGTCAAAACTGGGAAGTGTGCCTCCTTTTAATAGTTAGCCTTGCCTGCAGGAGCCACACATTGATTGGGTCCCTACTGTGCCAGCCACTGGGCTCTGTGCTGTCCGAAAGGCATTAATTAGAAGCCTTAGAGCACATGTGTCAAACACAAGGCCCTCGGGCCAAATCCGTCCCGCCAGGCCTTGCAATGTGGCCCACACCGCACTGTCATCACTGCACTTCGCTGCGTTTCCATCACAATGACAGTTTATGACTGTTCAGTAAACCATTCGGCCCGCGATTTAGGCTGGATTTTAGATTTTGGCCCCTTCTCTGATTGAGTTCGACACCCCTACCTTAGAGGATAGCTAGGGGCCCCTCTCCCATCACCAGCCAAGAGGTTGATCTCCAGCTAGGTCTTCATACCACAGCCCTCAACCTATCTGCCCTACCACCTCTCACCTCAGGCTCTCATCCAAGCCCCTGCTCATCTGTAATTCTCCCGTTCCCCAGCCTGTCCCCACACAGCCCCGTCTCCCCCATCCCAATTTATCAACTTCATGTTCTCCTGGACTCCCATGAACCGAGGGTCTTAGAGGCAGCTGCAAAGCGCTCACCTCCCCCAGGGTACCAGCTCCAACCCAGAGCCTCTTTCTCAGGCTCCTCGGCTCCCCATGTCCTAGTGGCCAGGGCTTGGTGCCACCAGGCCATGAAGTGGAGACTCAAAGCTACCCCTGGGGAGAGGGGTCCATGGGGCTTAGACAAAGACAGAGGGGCAGCTTCAGCACCAGGCAGGACAGTGGTGACTTCCCCCCTCTCCATCTTGCCCAGGGAAGGGCCGAGGCCTAGATGCAGCTCTGCCTCCCTGAAGAAATTCTGAAAATCTCTGTGTAGAGAGAAAGCCGGAAAGAAGAGAATAGAGCCCGTGGTTGCCCCTGGTCTTAAAGGCACAGGGGGTGCAAGCTCCCCTCTTTTGTTCCCTTCCAATGACCAGCCCTGTCACATTTTCCTCGGCTCACTTGACTGTCCTCTTACATCTCTGAGTCATTTCCTACACTTGACCTTTTTATTTTCTCTCGAGCTATGTCCCTTCACCTTGGGGACCCAGGCTCACCATCCTCTGCTCCAACCAGGTTGGTCTGAACTGGGCCTCAGGTTCCACTGAATCACTCCCACCAGCCAAGACATTTTGGGACAGGAGCTCCCAGCCCTCCTCTCCCTCAGAACCCCTGGGGCGTGTTACTGTGTGGTTACTGCTGTCTCCCCTGCACAGGCCATGAGGTCTTGGAGGGCAAGCAGATTGAGCCCCTAGAACCAAGCTTCCTAGGAGGGGATGATTAGTGAGATGAAATGAGTCTCTTGGGTCATCTGGAAGGAGAATTCACCAAGAAGGTGCCCCACTATGTGCCTTGTTTTGGGAGGTGGGTTAGTAAATGGTCTGAGTGATTGTTAAAATGCTGAGTCTTTGAAGTTCCTAGTTAAAGCCACCTCCTTCCTTCTGCTAGTTTATGGTCCCACCTCCTCACTGCCAATCCCCTGTCCCGGCTGGAGGTGAAAGAAGAGACTTCTGAGTCCGTTTCACCTCCCACTTAGTTTCTTTTTCTTGTTTTGCTTTTTTTGTTAATCCTCACCTAAGGATATATTTTCCATTGAATTTTAGAGAGAGGAAGAGACAGAGAGAAACATCGATGTGAGAGAGGTTGGTTGCCTCTGCACACACTTCAACCAGGGCCGGGGAATCTGCAACCGAGGTCTATGCCCTTGAATCAAACCCAGGACCCTTTAGTCCAAGGGCTGACATTCTATCCACTGAGGCAAACTTGCTAGGGCTCACCTCGCAATTGTTGAAGCAAGTACCCCTGGCCCAAGCACACTCCGTCTTCGGGGCCTCCTCTGGCCTCATCTCGGGGCTCTGCTGCAACCTCCTGAGGCGGTGGGGGGTCCAGGGCCCACTTGTGGTCTGGTGACCGCTTCCCTCTCCAGACAAGTTGGGCCCTGATCCCTCTGAACCCTTAGCTTGGTGCCGGCCCAAACTTTCTTTGGGAAAGGAAGAAATTCCATTGACGAAGGTGACATTGCTGCTTCCCTTATTGGTGATTAATAAGGGGAATCGTGGAGCTGTCTGCAGAACGAGCCCTCACAAGATACCGGGGCCTCCCTTTTGGTTAGGAACCAAGGACAAAGAGGAGAGACACAGGGAGCCCGGCAGACACAAAGCGGGAGAGAGATTCCCAAAGAATAGAGAGGGGGCGTGGAGTTACACCCAGGAGAGGGAGGCCAGCGACCTGGGGAGAGACAGATAGCACTGGTAGACACAACAGAGTCAGGCTCCAGAGGCAGAGAGATAGAAGAAAGAGGCAGGGAGAGGCGGACACCGGAAAGAGAAGCAGGCAGTGAGGAGAGAAGATGTGTGTGTGTGTGTATGTGTATGTGTGTGTGTGCGGGACTACTTACAAGCACCTGGTCAGTCAGCTTTCTGCTGACTCCCACCCTCAGGCCAGGGCTTCCTCAGGACAGTGCTGTCGTGGGAAGGGTCCCAACAGTCTCGGGTCTCAGTTGAAGGAGAGTCCTTCCCAGCTCCCACCAGCCCAGCTTTAGCTCTGGCCTGAGCAGGTCCTCCTCTCCCACAGAAATGCTTGGCCTGACCAGCCCGAGACCTTAGTAGTCTGGGAGCACTGGGAAGAGAGGGGCTACCTAAAGGGAAGGGAGACAGCAAAGCTGTGGTCCTGGGGCAGCAGTCCCAAGAAGAGCACCATGCACGGAGGTCCAGAGACTCTGCATGCCTGATGCCTGCCAGCTCCGATCTTTGGGATGGGGACAGGGAATGAAGAGACCCCACCATTCCCCCCTTCCTCCCCCCTCCACTCATACACCCCAGGAATCAAGACTTGCAGCTGGGAGACCTAGAGGGGGAGTTTCCACCTCTTTGCCCCGCCCCCCTCCCCACCCCCCCTTTCTTGCCCCGGTAACTCTTAGTGCCAAGGGGCCGCGCAGTCCCGCGTTTTGCAGAGGGTGTCAGATCGGCCCTGTGGGCCCTTCCTGAAGGCCGGGGATTTATTGCCGTTCAGACTCTGCGCGCCTGGCTCCCTTTGCCTCGGCGCCCGGAGCATCCACAGCTCGCCTTCCCGGTGAGTGCGCCTTCCTGGCGAGCGCGCATAGCGGTGCACCTGGGAGCCCGCAGGCTCCGAGGCTGCCTCCTCCCGCCCGGCCCCCCCCTCATCACCCGCGGGTGTCAGCCAGGCTCCCAGCTCTCCGAGGCCGCTCCCCAAGGGCCGGACCTCGCGCCCGGGAGCCCCGCGCTCCCTCCCGTTCCATTCATCTCCCCCGTTTCCACGCCGCAGGTGCCCAGCAGCGTCTGCCTTTGGAAGCGGCGCCCAGGAATCGAGGAGTTAGAGGTGCCAGCCTGGGGCGACCGTCTTCCTTAAGCCGGGCCACTGGAGGGTTTGCACCTGCGCCCAACGACTCGGGCCAGACACCCACACGCCCCAGGCTCCCAGCGTTCCCGTCCCCAGGCCGCCCCGGGCCCCCCAGGCCCACCTGGCCGTTCTTGCAGAGGTCAGCCCACATGCTGGTGCCGTCGCCGCCGCGCATGAGGACGTGGTAGGTGAAAAAGTAGGTGCCGGGGATGTTGCACGTGAACTTGCCGCTGGCCGCGTCGTAGTTGTTGCCGAGGTTGGTGACCACGTCGTCGAACTTGAGCACCTCGTAGCCCTCGTGCGGGTTCTTGAGGCCGGCGTAGAAGGCCACGCGCGGCACCGTGGTGTAGGTGGCGGTGCTGATGGCGCCGCTGCCCCCCGCGCCCGGCAGCCCGGGAGGCCCGGTCTTGCCCGGCTCGCCCTTCTCCCCCGGCGGCCCTACGGGGCCCGGAGGACCCGGGTCTCCGGGAGGCCCGGGCGGTCCAGGCTTGCCCGTGCGGCCCGGCTTCCCCTGGGGGCCCTGCACCAGCGTGGAGGGCGGGGGCGCGCCGCTCTGCTCGCTCAGCGCGTCCCCGCCGTCGGGCCGCGCGCGGGCGCCGGGGCCCCGGCCGGGGTAGGGGTCGCACACCATGCGGCAGGTCCCGAGCATCTCATAGTGGCCGTCCGGGCCGCCCGAGCTCACCAGCACGGGGATGAGCACCACCAGCACCAGCAGCATCACCACGCCCGCCGCGGCCGCCAGCAGCGTCTTCCGGCCGGCGCGGAGCCTCGGGAGCGCCGGGCCGCCCGGCCGCGCCGTCGGGGCAATGGTGCCGGCGTGAGGGGGGCGCGGGCGGGGCGCCCGCGCTCAAGGGCGGTCCGGCGGGGCTGCGGGCATGGGGCCGGACCCGGACCCGGGGCACCGCGCTGCGCTGGAGGCGCCGCCGAGCCTGGCCGCCGGGTCCTGCCTCGCGCCTGCCTCCCGCGGAGCGGCCGGACTGAGCGCGGCGGCCGCAGCCTGCAGCCCGCGCTCCCGCCTCCTCCCCGCGCGGGGCCGCCGCCCCCTCCGCCCCGCCCCGCCCCGCCCCCTTCACGGCTCTCAGCGCCGGCGGTGGGTGGGGCTTAAGGCGGGACCGGCGCCTGATTGGTCTTCGGGCGAGCAGGCTACGCCCACCTCGAGGGGCGGGGCCGCGGGGCGGGGCCGCGGGGGGAGGAACGGAGCCTAGAGAGGTAGGGGGAGTCTGGGGGAGCCAGATGAGGAGGGGGTGAAAGGGTGAGAAGAGGCTCCTGCAAGGAAGGAGCGAGCAGGGACCCAAGGGCGAATGGAGGAAAGGGCCACTGGAGAGTTAGAGCCGAGGGGGACGGAGAAGAGAGGCCTCGAGGGTCGGTTACGGGGAAAATTGAGAGGGACCGAGAGGCAGAGTGGCCACGGACTGCAGGGGCAGAGGCAAGGATGGGGGTTACCGGGTCTGTTGGGGGCAAAGAAATAGACTGAGGGGAGGACGGAGAGGGAAACAGAAGGGACAAGAAAGAGAGTTATGTCGGGGGAGAAAGATGAGGATGGGGAGGGGGCCATCAGCACTCAGGATTCCGCCACCACCCATCCGGGAGATCTGGGAGGTCCTGGGGAAATTGGGTGCCTGTCAGGGTGCCCAGCGGGATCCTGAGTGCTGCCAGCAGCCGCCCCTCCTCTTTCCTGGCTCCTGGCGGATCCCGGACCTTCCTTCACCTGAGGGGGGGGGGGGGCAAACGCCTTCACCCACTGCTCCCCTCCTCTGACCTTTCCTCACTGGCCTCCAGGCCAGACCAGGCTGCTTTATCCTGAGGGAGAGGAGCGTCTTTATCTTCCTCTGAGCATTTTCCTTCTCTTTTTAGGCAGGAAGAACTGGGGACCCTAGATCACCTCTCCATTCTGACCAGTACAAATACGTCCCCTTTTCCAGCGTTCTGGAGAAGAGGTTGAGCTCACCCAGCCCCTCAGCACCGCCCCCCCCCCCGCCCTCTCAGCAGCCCCCTAAAGCTTCTCCCCATCAGGTTGTAGGAGACAACAACACTCCTCAAGAGCAGCAAAGTGTTTAGGTTGCATAAACTGAAATGTGTCTGCTTCCATAAAAGCACTTGTCACATTATTGGAGGCCCAGCTTGTTGTGCCGCTCCACCTCTCCTCCCTCACCCTGCTTCACCCAGCCCACCAGGGAGGCTCTGCTACTGATCACTCTCCAGCCTCTCTCCTTTCTCCTGCAAGTTCCCTTCCCAGTCCACTCTCTCCCCCTGCCGACCTGTCACCGGGTCCTTAGGATAGGTCCTGGCTCTCTCTACGCCAGGCTGATTGTCTAACCCCGCCCAGAGCTGGGAGGCTGAAAGGGGCTGCGGGACACCACGTGGGGGCTGTGAAAGAGGACCTCCCAATGGCTGACCCCAGGTTAGGGTGACACCCCCCCTCCCCAAAGAAGGCAGCCAAAACAACCCAATCAATACCACGCGTGTGCCAGGCCCTGTGCTGAATGCTTTAGGCATGCGGCCACACTTGGTCCTCACGCCAATCCATAGAGGTAAGACCCAGCCTCATTTCTCCTTTCACAGAAGCTTTGGCAAGGTAAGAGATCTGCCCAAAGTCACACAACTCCTAAAAGTGGTCCAGTCGGGATCCAAACCCGCAGCCTGGCCCCACGCTCCTCCAGCCTCCATGCCCATCATTAAGTCTATCCCCTGCCCAAAGGGAGGACGACGTCAGACGCAGTTGGAGGGGTGCTCCCAGCAGCGGGTGCTCCCCAGGCTCAGGAAGAGGAGTCCTGAGCTCGAGGCTGTCACTCCGGCCCCCTGTCCTCTTGCTGGCTCCCCATGCATGACTCCCCGAAGAGCTACCCGGCTGGGGATCCGAGGGACTAGTGCGCGGCCATCAGCGTAGGATTTGTATACCCCGCCCCCCAGTTCGCCAGTTCGCCGGCAAACGGGTCCCTCCTCCGCCCTGCGGCCGGGGCTCGCTGCCCCCCCAGCCCAGCCAGCACCGCCCGGGGAGCTGGGTCCGAGGAGGGGGAGCGCCCAGCACCCGCGCCGCCCACGCGTCCGAGACGCCCCACTCCCCCCGCCCGCCGCCCCCAGAGGACGCCCGCTCCCCCGGCGCGCGGTGGCGTCTCTGTCAGCCCAGCCGGATTCTCCCCGCTTCGCTGGAGTGGAAAATAACGGCTTCAAACTTTGCAGAGGAGCGAGTGCCAGCACTTTAATTAACAGCCATCTTGGCCTGTGAGCCTGGGCCACCGGCCCGCGCCACCCGCCGGCTCGCCAGGCCCCGCCCGGCCCCGAAGGAGAAGGAGGCGAACCCCCGCCCCGGCGGCGTCTAGGGCCCCTTTCCTGGAGGAGATGAGGAACTGGCTGATGGGGGCGGGGCGAGGCTCTCCCAGCTTAATATCTGAGGACCCCAGCACTGGCACCCTTCCTCCCTCCCTCCCCCTTCCCCCCAAATTCTCTGAATCTGGCGCCAAAGATTCAAGAACCAGAGACTTGATTCTGTATACCAATCCCTGCTGGTGATTCGGGGCTGGTCGATTGACCTGCAGAGTCCCCTGGAGGACGGGTTGTGAGGATGACATGAGATGGACCGAATGAAAAGCTCGGGACTGGGAATCTGACCCTTGTCATGTGCCCAGTGAATGGTGGCTGAGAAAACCATCCCACGGTCAAGGCGAAGATGGCTCTTCCACCCCCTCAGGCCGTGGCTCTGCTGGCCCTGCCTTCTCCTCACAGACCGCTGTGCTTGGCACCAGGAGAGGAGGGCCATGGTCTGTGCTTCCAGGTTCAGAGACAGGACTAGATGAGTGAGGAAGGAACCCTGGAGTTCTGGCTCGAAAGCCTCTTCCTCACCACCTGCCGAGGCTGGGGTCCAGGTCTTCAGAAAGGGAGAGAGGAAGGCCCTGGGAGGGGAGGGCAGCACTGTCTGTAGCTGGGATGCACCGGTGCTGGGCACTGAAGGCCCAGCTTTGCTGTCCCTCCCGAGTGGCAGCTCCCTCACTCCTGCAGCCCCATCATTGGAGCAGTGGGGAGGGCTGTTGGTCATTTCGGTGGTGTGTGGAGGGTGCAAGAAAGTGGGTGAGTCCTGTGTGTATGCCCGACTGATCTTAGGAACCGGGGTGGCTGCTCCGTGGTATTTTGGGGTTCTTGGAATGAACGTGAGTGGGTGCGAATGCATTAGAGACTGTGTTTGTGTGGGTGTTGTGTGTCTGGGTTTGTGAATGATGAGAGGGGGTGCTTCGCCCTGACTCGTCAGCTGGCCAATCTGCATTCATTTGTTCATTCAGTAAACATTTACTGAAAACACCCAGCGAGGCATTGCCAGGTGCTAGTGGTGATGCGTCCAAAAATAAGTTAGACGTAAGCAGTGCCCCCGAGGAGCTCACGCTTTGGCAGGGATCACGGGAAGGAAGACATGATAAGAGCTATGATGATTATTGCAGCGAATACTCTTTGAGCACTTACTAAGTGCAAGATATCGCTCTAAAGCACTGTATGTGGCTTATCCCATTTAACTGTAGCAGCTTATTGTTAGCATGGACTTAAAATGACTACATGGCTTCTGTCACTTAACGTCAATAACTCCATGAGGTAGGCACGCTTATTTTCCCATTATATAGCGAGGACACTAAGTCTTGGGTAGAGGTTTGTCCTGGGTGTTATGAGGCACAGATGAAAAACTCCCTGCCTGGAGGAATCCAGGAAGACTTCACAGAGGAGGTGTCATTGTTCCATCTACCTATCCACTCATTCATCCATCTTCCATCCATTCTAGAAACCCATAGTAAGTGACCACCACACGCTTACTATCACAGGACACAGAGACAATCGTGAAAAGACTTGTGACCTCCTGGGGCTTACAGTGCAAGGCAGGAACCTGGACAGTTAAACAAGCGATTGCTGTCTAGGTTGACAGGTAAGCTGCCTGGGAATGTATGGGGCACGCAGCTGTGTCGCCTCCATTCATCCGGAGGCAGGGGGTCATGGGAAGCCTTCCGGAAGAGGTGACATTTAAGTTAAGCCCTGATGGAAGGATGGCGAGGTGAAGAGGATGGCCACCAGAGGTGGAGGAGAGAGGGAAGGGAGGGAGATTATTTCAGGCAGAGGGAACCGCATGTGCTAAAGACTAGCTTGCAGTGACTTATGGGCTGTGACAAGGAATGTATAATTTATCCCGAAGGCAATTAGAAACTACTGAAGGGTGTTGAGTGAGTGATATAATCAGATTCTTCAGATTAGAAAGATCAGTCTGGCTACTGTGGGGAGCAGGGATTAAAGCAGAGGGAGAGTGTCATGAGGAGATTAAGTAGAAGGCAGTGGCAGTGGTCCAGGGGAGAGCTGACAGTGTTCTGATCTGATGGGATAAGGGTGTGGTGTGGACTCTCAGGATCCTGGAAAGATCTTGAAATGTTTATGAAATGAATTAAGGAAGGATGAATGTTGTTGCTCTTCTCTCACCTGGGTACCGATATGTGCCAGGCACTTTACATACTCTGTTTTATTTGATCCTCACTGGAAGTCTAAGGAATAAGCATTATCATTTCCATGTTGGAGAGGAGGATGCTGAGGCTCAGAGATGTTAAGTAACTTGCCCAGATCACACAGCTGGTAAGAGAGAGAGTCAGGTTCAGCCGGCGTGGCTAAGTGGTTGAGGGTTGACCTATGAACCAGAAGGTTATGGGTTCGATTCTAGGTTAGGATACATGCCCAGGTTGCAGGCTCAAATCCCCACCCAGTGTGGTGTTTACAGGAGGCAGCTGATAAAGGATCCTCTGTCATCATTAATGTTTCTATCTCTCACTTCCTCTCCCTTTCTCTCTAAAATTTTATATATATGTGTATATATATATATATATATATATATATATATATATATATATATATATATTTTTTTTTTTTTTTTTTTAAAGGGAGAGTCAGGATTTAATATTTCGTCTGTTTGACCCCAGGCTTGGGCACTTGGCCCAGCAGGTGCATACCTGATGGGAAGAACAAGGAAAAGCACTTTAGGGAG